CGTCTCTTGGATGGCTTTCCGCTTTGCCAGGAGCTGTTTGTGTTCGTCAACGTTGAGCATGCCGAGTTTAATGGAGAGCCACTTTAAAGTGCCCCACCACTTCTGGAGCTTCGCCGGGGTGACCTCCAGCGTGACCGCCTGGTTCATGAGGTGCCGGACGTCACCGGCCGTCCAGGGGAGGTTCTGGAAGCCGATCTTGCGCATGCCCTCATAGGCCAAGCAATGTGCTCGGATGGTCCGGAACCGGGCATCTCCAAATAGGTGGCCGAACTCCTCCAGCTCCCTGGCCCCCATCACCTGGTGCATGTAGGGGATCTGGTGGCGGAAAGGAATGAAGTAGCCCAGGAGGCGTTCCAGCCACCTGGCCCTCAAGTGCTGTTCCAACGCTCGTTGGGATGTCGGCAATTGGGTTTTGATCTTCCCTGGTTTCCAATGCCGCCACTTGTTGGCCACTGCCAGGACATCCGGGGCCTCAATCGATCCGGAGAGGATCCACTCCTCGCGGTCCCGGATGGCCTGCTCCATTTCCAGTGGAGAATAGGTGTGCGATTGTCTGGCGCCTGCCGCACGAAACAGAAGTTGTTGCAGGGTCTTAGTAGCGAGCTCCAAATCCGCCTCCTCCAGCGGTTGTGGTTGGGAGCCGAGTATCCTTGCGAGGATCAAGTTGTAGGTGTCCGAGGCCACCAGGACATGGTTGCCGTCAGGTGCCAGCCCCACGATTCGTGTCCACGGTCGCGGGTCAAAGACCACCGCATCCGGGTTGGCAACCTGGTCCTTTTTGACCCATTCCAGGCAGCACGCCACGAGGATTTCCCCGTCCGACTGCACTGGTGCAAATCCAAGGTCATGCAAAATCAACTGGAACGCGGTTGGTACCCCAAGGAAGGTCGTTCCAAACGGGGAAGGGAGGCGGGGCCTCCACATCATCGTGATCCACTCGAGCCAGGAGCCTAATTCCTAGGCGCGAACCCCAACCAAACAACAGGGGAGCCCCCAAAACCCCGGAAAGCCCATCCCGAAACGGGGGAAAAGGGGGGGGGGACCCAGGGAGCCGCCCCGGAAAGGGAAGAACCAAACAAGGGAGGGGAGCCAAGGCGCACCCCGGACCAGCCCAAGCGCGCCAATTTTTCTCGCCTGGTACAGGTCTAGGCCTGTGCTGTGCCCAGGGGGGGATATCAGCGCCCTCGGCAGCTGTCCCCCCCGGGGTGCGCTGCGAATCCGTTCCGGATGGCCGCAGTGCTGTATGATCATACGGCCCCCTTTGCAATGTCGTCAATGCGCTTGAGCGCCGCCGCCTCCGGATTCCGGAGAATCAGCTCCCAGATGGCGTTTGAAACATGGCCGGTCTGGGTGATGTGGCTGAACCTAAACCGGGGGACTTTCTGGTCCACCACGGAGACATCCCGCAGCGGGGCAGAGGGCTCTACCCGGCGGTAGAACTCCAACCGCTCCTTGACCCAGCGGTTGTACAGGCCATCCGGCGGCTCGTCCAGCACCAGCTGAAGGATGGCCTTGCCGGCCCGGATCTGGAGGAGGCGGGTGCCCCCTCCCCCGGCGCGCCAGTACCCCTTGCAGTACTTGCACATGTAGCCCCCCCGGGTCTCCCCTTTTGTCTTCGGGATGAGTTCCCACGGGGTGACGGAGCTCAGGACCAGGCCACACTCCATGTGCGCCCAGAAGACATGCTTCGTCTCCGCCGGATAGTTCTTCTTCCGGTAGTCCTTGCCCACCACGCCGTGGACGTTGTCCGATGTGATGGGGGGGTAAACGATCCCCTCATCGCCCTCTCCTCCCCTGGGGCGGATGTCAGGGCCATCGGCACCTGTCCGGCACCCAGGGGCGGAGGGGTCAAGGCCCATCAGCTTGATCATGTCGTTGGTGTAGCCGAGCTTGCGGTAGATGGAGGGGGCTACTGAGTCGGGGACTGCGCCGACCCACCACTGCTTCGTGTTGCAGCGCCAGTTGACCTTCACCTCCGCCAGGGCCCCCGGGCCTCCAATGCGGTCCATGAGGGCCTTGTACACCTCTGGGAACTGCTGGAGACTCTCCACCGGGACAGATATGCGCTCATCACATACCGCCCGGAGGATCATCTGTTCCTTGGAGTCCGCCACGTCCTGGACCGGGAGCTGCATCACCTCCGCCGGGGTGTCCGTGAGGAAGGCCCGGGCCGCGAGGACCTTGCCCATGGCCCGGTAGACCAACCGCCACTCCGGTCCTGTCTGCGGAAACGGAAGGCCCTCCTCCTTCAGGAAGCACCGCGCGTCTTCCTTCAGGGTCTCCCAGCCCTCCAGGCGGATCTCGGGCCCCGCTGCCTAGGGCCCTGTAGCAGTGGCAGGGACTCCCAGACTCCCCAGAGCTGGCGCAGGGTGAAGCTGTGACCAAACATCCCCAGTAAGCCTGGAAGTGTCCAGGACGAGATCTGGCGCGCCCAGTGGAAGTCCTCATCCGGATCGTGGGGGGCCGCCCAGAAGATGGAACGCAGGTCCTCGGGGTAGGGTCGGTCCCCCGCCTTAGCCTGCTGGTTCAACTCATCAACGGAGTACCTGGCCCATGGGAGTCCACCCACCTGGTGGTTCCTGGGATGCGTACCCCTCTCCAGCGCCTCCGGATTCACCTTGGTGAGGTTGTTGGCCCAGTCCGGGACGTGTACGGGGCCCGGTCGTCGGACCCAGCGGCCCGCAAAGATACGGACCTCTCCGACCCGTTTGCTCATCATCCAGCGCAGGACCGCGAGCTGCACCTCCGGGTCCTGGGTATCCAGGCCCCCTGGGGTGGCAGACGGCTTGTCAGGGCCCTCGGCACCTGAGCTCGTCGCGCCAGAGCCCGAGGCTGGGGGGATGGTGGGCTGCCTGTCAGGGCCCTCGGCACCTGGGCGCGCCGCACCAGAGCCCCCCGCCTTTGGAATGGGGATCCCCGCCAGATCCGGCAGATCTGCCAGGAGGGCCGCCGGAAAGGGGTTCCTACCCAGCGAGATGACCGCCTTGGCTTCGAGGTAAGAGTCCGTGAGGGACGTGAGGTCGTCCATGCTGAAATCCCTCCATGCCGTGGTCGGCTCAAAGACCCCCGTCTCAATGGCAACTCGGACCTCGTTAGGCCACGCACTGAATGGAGGCTTGATGGGCTCGAGCATTCTGGTCTCGTGGGCGCCCTTCGCTTGTCTGGCCTGGTGCTTTGCCTTCGCCTCCTCCGCAGTGGTCTGGGCCTGGAGGAGCTCCGGTGTGGGCCTCCCCCAGTCCGCGCCCAGCTTATCCAGCAGTTTTTCGCGGAAAAGGTCCAAGTCCAAATTCTTGAGGAGTAGGCCCCCATCGCCTCCTCCATCAATGGCCCCTCCTTGAAGCTCGTGGAGGACCGCCGCGGATCGCTCCACCGCTGCCACCTGGTCTGCCTTCTTGGCCTCCTCCTGGGCAATGGTGGTGGCGTTGAGCCGGGTCTGGATTTTGAAAGCCTTCACCGCCGACGGGTGGAAGGCCCTGCATTCCTGGCCCTCTTCCTTGTCGCCCGGCAATGGAGGCCTCTCCCCCATTGGGGCCGTCAGGAAATCCTCGTCCAGCTCCATGGGGCAGTTCCTGATCACCGCCCGGACCGAGGAGGGGACAAAGTCCGAGAAGCTGGCCTGGTCCGGGTTCTCGCATGCCATCGGGTCGGTGGCCAGCTCGCTGACATCCACCGAGGCGCTGAGCTTGAGGTCGCGGGCCCGGTCCGTATCAGGGCCATCGGCACCTGCGGACCGGGCCGCCGTCCAGACCGCATTGCCCTGGTCATCCACCGTCAACTGCCAGTGCGTGCCCGCCATCTCCAGGGTGGCCGAGTTGGTCGCCATGTCAATGGGCTCCGTCTTCTTGCCGCACCCCATACACTTCCTGGCGCCCTTCTTCACCCAGGGCATGGTGCAGCAGGGGCAGATCCAGGATGTGGGCTCCTTACCCAGGGGGCGGTTCTCCAGGCCCCCATACCCCAGGCCAGCGCGCTTGCCGACCTGCTGTCCCGGGGTGCTGAGCCGGGCCTCATGCTCATACTTCATCTTGGCGATGTAGAACGCCTCCACCACACGCTCCAGGCCCCCCTGCTTGAGTTGGGGGCCCTCAAAGCCTCTCAGGAGCCGCTGGACGTCCTTGGCCTGCAGTCGGCGGAGCCTAGTGGCCGTGGTCGCATCAAAACACGGGAAGTCGCCCGCCATCTGGTCATCGCTGAATTGGTAAAGGCCCTCAGAGACTTTGAGGGCCTTGGTGAAGACGCTTCCCCCCGGCGGGGGGGCTGCGGGGTCCTCATCCTCCTCCGAGGACGCCTGCTCCCTGACCTTCGCCATCAGATCACGGCGTCTCTGCCACTTGGTGTCGGACATCGGGAGCTCCTCCTCGTCTTCCGCCAGGAGTTCCTCCATGGGAACATCCTTCTCCGGCGGGTTTAGGAGCTCCAGGAACGCCCCTGGGGGGCGTGTCAGGGCCTTTGGCACCTGCGCCACCCCAGGGGCTGAGTCTGCCATCAGCTCGTCCTCTGCCTTTCGCTTGGCTGGGATGAGTGGGGCCTGCTCCAGCTCATCGGCGCTGGAGAAGAACCGCTCGTCAGGTGCCTGAGGGACCTCAGCAGCCAAGACGGTCCATCCTTCTTCCTCCTTCTTCACGAGGCTTGCTAGGTACTTCGCCATGGAGGCCTTTGCCTTCGCCTTGGCCTCTGCAACCGCGGCACCAGCGTAGGCGGGGGCGTACATGGCTTTGATAGGAGGGGAAAGAAAGATTTCAGATTACAAGACAGAAGGTCAGAGTCCACTTGAGCCAAAATGGTGGCCCAAGTGGACACTTATGAAGAGTCAAGACAAGCGACCACCTGCGGTTAACGCTTTAGCCCAGTCTCCCAACCTGGGTGCTACAGTCACATTGGATATCATTATTTCGCGTTGAAACCGGGCAGGCGGAAGCCTCACAAGACCCGAGTTGTCCTTACATGACATTTATGTAAAAGTCATCCTCCGAGTTTCCCTCTTCGACCTCATTTGGCGCCTCTCCGACCGCGGGGAGCTTATCTGCTGTGCCAGGATTTGTTGGCAAGCCTCCGCCACCGACTCCACCTGAGAGAGCAAATTCGCTTTCCGCGCGCGCTTGCGCTTGCGAGCGCGTTTCTGCAATCTCACGGGCAGGGCATTGACCTCCACCTGAGGGAATTTCTGAGCGTGATCTTCAGCGTGTTTTTTAAAATGCAGATCCCCTGTCAATGTGGGGTGGTGTCCTGGGGCGGGGGGGGGAAAAACAGTGATTCCTTTCTTTCAGGAAGAATCTCCTTGATTTGTAAATTGGGGAGTTGTCAGTGGAAATCCTGTGTCATACGGAAGTTGCCCAAAAGGATGGCTTCCCTTTGTTTCTACAAAAGGATTCAATAAGAGTGTCTGGTAGGTTCCCAACATGGTTTCCAAAAGTAGATTCCAACCACATGGATCTTGTTTTGCAGGGTACCCGTTTTGGGGTTACAAGGAACCAAAACGGAAACAGCCAACCTCCCCCCCATGGGAGACACAATTGCATCTGGTGTAAGTGTCGTGTCCTCTTTCTCCCTTCGCGCTGGTGCCACAAGCAGGGTTGGGCGATTGAACCCCCAGTTCAAACATGTTTGAGCACACTTTGCTTTAAGAACCCCTGGTTTAAGCATGTTTTTAAACAACATTGTGTTCACCCTCCACCCTTTAGTTTCCATGCAAAATTTGCGCAAGCACCTGGTTGTTTGAACAAACATTTTTGCTCATCGGCCGGCCGAGTCGAGCGCGAGTGCCTTCTCCTGCAGCCGCTCGTGCTCCCGCGTGAGGCGGTACATGTGGATGCTCTGGGCGGGGCCCTGGAAGTACTTGAGACCTGCGTCTTGACGCAGCTTTGGGGTTGCTGAACCCCCCCCCCCTTCCCCGAGAGAACCAAGACAGAATGATGAGACATGAGTTGCCAAGCACTGCTAACACAGTCACACAGAGGCGACTGGCAAGGTGGTCTGCCCACCAATGTTTGACCTCTTGCATCATTTCCAGACCACATGTCATCTCAGCCATTTGAATCTAAGCCACACTGCCTTCTGAATCACAAGAACTGGAAGCCAAACAAAAGCAAACACTCGACTTATGAGCACTTGATTAGCCGGGGTGTTGCGATGTGGGGCGATAGACATGGCTCTCCATTGCTAAACGGACAGTCTCACAATGGCTGTTCGAATTGAAGCCTCGAACTCCCTTTCCCAAGTGCTGTCAACCTGAGGTCCTTTGCCGGCCGTCCATAGATATCCCTGCTTTCCAGTGGAACAACACTCCACCCGGAAGTCGCTTGAAAATCGGCCGCAGTGCGAGATGCTTCAACTCCAGGGTGATCTTGGGGTCCCGTCTGATGGAACGCTGCTCCCACTTAAGGCATGTGTTCCCTAGACCAAAAGGACCTGATCAGTTTGAGAGCGTCAGCGGCAACTAGACCCCGCCTCTTGCAAACTCTTCCTGCGGGCAGAAGATGTCATGAGAACCTTCTCAAATTATCACGGCAGTGATCAAAACTTTGTCCAAAACTTCGGGACCCCGTGTTGGATTGCTTGCTTCCCACGCTCAGAATATGTAAAACTGCATGGTTCAAGCATTTTGCCAGGTGGCTAACCCTACGAGTGTTTTTTCGTGGCAATGCCACCAGAGGAAACAGTAAAACCGAGAAGGCAACTCTCGTACCAATCTGTTCCTTGGATTCCGTAGAAGTCCTCCTTCGACTTTAAGCACTGTGCCGAGATCAAACTGACAGCTGGACCAGGGTGATGTCTAAAGCCAGCAAAAGGGGAAACGCGGAATGGGAAGCATGGGGGAATGGACAGGAGGACGGGAAAGGCTAAGAGAAGGAGAAAAATAGTGTCTTCTCAAACGAACGTGCGCAGAGCACAAAGAGGTGAAGGTGCACATGCTCCTTTCGCCCTTGTCTTCCCCGTCCCGTTGAGAGAAAAACGGATTGGTTCAAGCAAGCTTAAACCAGGGTTCGCCTTGGAGTGGCAGAAGTGAAGGACGGCATCTGAGTTGAGCCCCAACGGGCGTAGCTGGGTGCGCAATCAGAGTAGCTGGGTGCGCAATCAGAAGACTTGCTTTGTACCGACATGGGGAACGCCGCTTGGAAACCAAGCATTTGTACTGATCCAACTCATGTTTTAGGATTCATCCAGTACAAACTGTCCATTCTTCCAGGTTCCTGTTCCATGAGACTTGTGGGGCTCCCCTGATGCAAGGGAATGGGCTGCTATTCCCCCCGCAGGTTTGGTTGAGACCATCCAACAAATCTACACTTCTGGGAGTTCGAACGGCTCTTGTGTCCGAAGCCCACGCTCCCTCGCTCCGCGTTTTTCGTAAACGGTCCGCGGGCGCTGGCTGTCCTCATCGATGGCACCGCTGTCGTCGGCATCCAGGATGCTCCAAAGCTCCTCCGCATTGACACCGTCCAGGTTGATGCCCAGCTTTCTGAACCTTAACTGAGCCTTCCCGGAGGGCCAAGCCCAACCCCGAGCATCTCTAAGCAAATGTTGAAAAGCATCGTCCTGGAGCTCATCGTGCAGAATGTCCAATTGATGGGGATGCGTCATGTGCACTCACCCCACCCCACCCCACCCCACCCCACCCGCTGGTGGGCAACTTGCTGTAGGCAAGGGTCACCTGTCAACTATTTCACAAAAGAAGACAAGTGTAAGTCCTTACTCTGAACGGGCAAGAGGCCCCTTCGAGAAGCGTCCATCAAACATGTTCCCAGGAAACTTCAGAGGCTGGTCCCCTCCGTTTACGCTTATGTTGGAGGATTCCGGAAATTTCGCCAGTGATGGCAAAACATCAGGCGAATTAATTACTTGAGTTCCCCCTTGGAGGAAGTACGTGGACCACTCTTGGGTTCAAGTCCCTGTAGCAACCCAAAAGCGGAGCCCTGCCAAGGCGCAATGTCTGAACTTTGATGTTGGAGATCTGTGCCTTGAACTCCGCTATCCTCGGCTGAGAAATGGCGGAAAAGCTCCCCTTGTTTTTATGGGGGCAATTCAACAAGACCCTCATGGCTCTCCCAAATTGACCGTGCCACATCCAACCAGACAAAAACTGGCGATTCGTTGCAATTTCATAAGACGAATGCGTGCTTGGGCTGTGTCTAACAATTAGTTGGCCAGAGCCAGTTGTTCTTGTGTTGGGCTGCATCAGTAGCTAGTTTTTCAGCTTGTGGGCAAGCTCCATTGAGATGCTACTAGAATCCAGACCAGGAGGCTGAGGAGTGGAAGTCGGGTAACCGAGATATAGGCTCCCTACTTTGAGGATGTCCGAGAAGTGTTGCATCACTTGAGCCAAAAGAGAACTCCTCCTGGCTCCGGCGAAGCAGTTGCCAACATTCTGAACGGAAAACCTCACAGCTGGTGGGAAGCCCTATGTCGCTTGGCCATCTTGGCGCTTGAACCGTGAAAAAATGGCAACCGTTCAGCCCTTATGCGTTTTGCTTGCCCCCCTCACTGTGACTCGCGAGAAGGCGACTAACTTTAGTTGGTTGAAACAATGGCCTCCTGTAAAGGGCAACCTCAAGTCAGAGTGGGGCCAACCACCTGTCTAGACATGTTGAAACCTTTCGCAAAGGAAACAAGGGTTGGCTGTGTTATCCAACTTTGCCCCAGCCTGCCTCAAGTTGAATATACAAGCAGGGGGGTCAGGTTAGTCTCATCTTCGCAGGGCCAACCCCTTGCTGAAGCATGCTTGTTCAAACAAACGTCCTTTGGCTTCCCTTTGAAGCGGCCCAGCAGCGTCTGGTCGTTCAAACAATTCATTTGTGCCCAACCCATCGCACTCAGGCGCAGGCTGCACAACCCCCCAACCCCCTTTTCAGGGCCAAAGGTGCGTGAACTTGCCGTTGATGCTGGCATCCAGTCTCATGAAGAGATCCTGCGATCGACCCCACAGAAAAGGCTGTGAGCGATGAAGACTAATGTGTTAACTTATGTTAAAGAGCCAAATTTGTGTTGCGTTGATTTTGCACAGTTCGCTCCTTTTGTATTTTCTTGTTGCTTGAAAGCGGGCTTGCATCTAGGCTTGGTGCAGCTCCAATCTGGGCCATGGCTTTTGGGTAGGTTATGTGGCAGCTTTTGAAAGAGCTGATTGTGTGCATTCATGATCTGGGACGGTGCTCGCACCAGTTGGGAACTTAGGCAACAATCGGCCCCTGAATATCCTCAGAACATCAGCCAACATTGCCAGCATTCCCTGCAACTGGCTTTTCGAACACGCAAACTTAAGGGGTCCAAAAATCGGACCCCTTAACCTCTTCAGCGTGACCCAGGGTTCAATGAAGGTGCAGTCCAAGTTCTCCGCAAGCGGATGCTTTTTGTTTGGGACAAGCTCAGGTCATTGACCCTGCTGTGAATCGATTTCCCAATGGCGGCATGACCCTTCTGGATCACAAGAGCCGCGGGCGCGGCACGCGTCTGCGCGTCTGCGTCAACATCTATAAGACTAAAAAGAAGGAAACCAAAAACCAGCACGAAAAAATACAAGGCAAGAAACCGGCTAAAAGGACGGCCAAAAGAAAACCCATTTGGACATGATTGGACTTAGGTTCTTGTTGTAGAATAACCATCTACTGGTGGTTTCACGTTTGATCAGTAAAATATAAAATGAATGTAACGCTACCCTGTGAAAGGCTCCAACTCATTCTTGCTGAGAATGACCAAGCCTTTCTGTGAGACCAAAGTGAACCATCCTTGTAACATCTGGCAACTACCTTGTCATTTGAAAGTTCCATTGGTATCAGAAAGTGGGCACCTAACAACCCATCTCCACGGGGGAGCCTAAAAGTTATGATCTTCCTCTTGGTTCAACTTTGAACCAACCCAAAAAGCGTACCCTCCCAAAAAAGTCACATACCCAACTCCTTCACGCGAAACCAGGCGGCGCCTTCACCTCGGCGATCCACCGCTTGCGCTCTGTCAACGCCTCGAAATACATGGCGTCCTGAAGGTGTCGAATGCACGGGAAACTCGGGAGGCTGGCGGGAAACCCCACTTTTGAGCAGTTGGTCTTGTGTGGGTCTTACCCGGTCGATTGGCTTCAAGACCAAACCAAAAAAAGCAACTATGTTGTGCAGGTCGAGCTTCGAGACAACCCCTTGTTTCGGACAGACCTTTGTACTGGAAGAGAAAAGGGCACCCTCTCTTTGGACCTCCACCTTTCGGGCGTTGGTATCTTTAGCCTTCTCGGGTCTGTGTTAAAGGGGGCCATCAAAGCTAGCACTTTTGGGTTTCCATGAGACAGACCCACAAGGGAGAGCAGTTTTGCTCATCCCAAAACGGCCGGGGGGGGGGGGGGGCATGCAACCCGCAGCCAGTTGCTTCGGAGAAAAAATAACTAGAAAACAACTCGTCTCGCACACGTCACGGACTTCATTCCCCACAGACTCCAGAGCATACGCTCCAAGCTTTACTTGGGCTTATTTTTTCCCCAAGCCAATTGGCTGGAGGATCTCCCCCCCAGGACAAATCCCCCGAAGGTCCTCGTCCGCAGACTTCAAGGCCTTGGCGTTGTCCACGAAGATGCCCGTAACCTCAGATCCACCCAGAGATGGAACAAGTCGACCCATGTGGTTGGTCTTGATCGGGGTTGTCATCCTTCGCTTTAGGAACCCCCCCACGAGCTTGGACGCGAAGACGTTTGACGGTACCAGCTTGGGGTGGGGATCTACACTGAACACGCATGACCCTACTCAAAGCAGATTGCAGCAGAAATCCCACACCGTCCCGGGATGCTGTGTGTCTGTGTGTTTCTGTGGATGTTCTTCCGTGCTATTGCTGGATGGTGTCCATGTTTCCCCAATCTAGTGACTTCAGGTGGGATCAGCCATCAGGATTGTCTTTACTCTGGGTCGTCCTTGGCTTCGTTTAGGGCAGGCATAGGCCGTTATGGCTGGTTTGAACAGGGGCGAGTGTAGCATTGAGACTAGGGCTCGTTGTTTCAGAGTGGGTGTGAGGAAGCGCTGGGTTTTTGGACTGGTTTGGGTCGGGTTTGGAGGAGTCTTCATTTGGAGGAGGACGGCTTTCCATTGACTTTTTTCTTGTTACGTGGGGAGCCCCACACCGACCCCCCAAACCCACCCTGAGCAAACCTACAGCAACCCCCAGAAATGGATATCTTTGGAGTTCAATCGTTGATCTTAGCGGTGTCATTGTGTGTGTGTGTCCCCTTTAAATGGGATGCCGCACTTTTGGGAAAATCCGCATTCGCCATTGAGTGTGAGTGAACTTTCTGGAACCCCAAACGAAGGCAAGCAGACAATAAGCTTGGACAAAAATCACGCCGCTGCAGCTTGCGGCTTCACGCGGCATCCAAACCCCGTGTTGTTGGGCCCAGGGTTTGGTCCTACCTCAGTTTCTGCCCAAGAAACCAAGCGTGCATTTATATGTTGGCGCATAGATAGCGAACCTAAGAGTATCAAAAAGGATTCCAGGTTACCTCAAAGGGCAACTCCCGCGGCTATTCCAAGCGCCGCCCAAGTCTAGACGAAGCGCTGCATCGTAGGTCTGAAATTCAACCCCCAAAGCGCAGGCCACGTTGTTTGATTGTGAGTCTATTCAGGGTTCAAAGGTAGAGGTGTATGTCTTTTTCCAATCAGCCAACCAGCCAAGCAACCAGATCTAAAAAATTCCAGCCCTGGGTAAAAGCAAACTCATCCTGGTTCAAAGTAACATGAGGCTGGAGGGTTCCCAATTGTTCGGCCCTCCCATTTCAGCACGTCAGGGCGCAATGTTCAGGCAGCAGAACAAGGTGAAGAAGACATAGGTGGCAAACCTGGGCGGAACTCGTAGCAAGCCACCCTCGGGCTTGAAAAAAAGACTGCAGGTCGCAGTAATTCATGAAAGGAACAGAGCGGAGATACGCCTTGTGATATATTGGCTAGGGTCAAAAGTTGGATTTGGGCTTGATTCAAGGGGATGTGCCAATCGAGTCGCGGATTGTCTGCACTCTTGATTGTGGCTGCATCTTCGATGCAAAGGACATGGCTGATGACCATTAGCAAGAAGCACAGAGATCCAGGAACCAAGGAAGGACCATCTTCCTGTCAAGCAATAGCGAGCAAAGGTCACCATCGCCATATCCGAGTCACCTCAAAAACCGATCGGCTAACTTTCCAACTCAGAACAAAGCACCAAAGAATGTGTTGCACAAAGCCCAGCTCGTGTTCAAACCATCTTTCTCTCTGCTTTCCCGGTTAGAGACCTTCGAAAAGCAGGTCCAAAAAATAGAAAGCCAAAACGAGGGAGCCAAAAGGGCGATGGTTTGCTTGTGCATTTCCAAACCCATTTGGGTATGAACCTTAATTCAGACCCTAACAGATCCACCAACGGTTTTCGGAAGATGTCCTATGAAAAAAGGCATGATCATTTGAACCTTGATCGGAACTGCGGAACATCTCTGCACTAGTGGGGTCACCGAATCGGTCCAGGACTGAACCGAACCCCGTACACAAAAAGCAATGTTTTCTGATTCTGCTTCATATCTAGTCTAACCTAAATTGAAAAATGGAGATCCTGGCCAAGGTTGAGGTGCTATCCTCCTGTTGATGCCGGAAGCAATCCTTCCGATCGCTCTCTCTCTCTCTCTCTCTGGGCAAATGGGATACGCGTCTGCCCGGGCTGATACGTCAGTAGCAACATAGCATGCATCGCTTCAACCGAATCACCTACTCTCAGTTGGCATTTGGTTCCATTCCGGAAGTCACGCTCCATGTGAGCCAGGGTCAAAACTCAAAATTGCTTGCTTCCCCAGGAGGACATGAGTGTGTCTCAAAATGGGGGACCCAAAAGACATGTTAGCTTTGAAACCACTATAAAAGGGATACCCTCAGCAAAGACACATCCGAAGTGGGAAATTTAGTGATCCCCCTAGGGTTTTGGTAGACATTTAGTAAGTCCAGGCCCTCCTACTGGAAATGCCGTCCGGCGCCAGCTCCAAAGTATGGTCTCACCTCCTGTGTGTCGTGACCTAATCTCCTTTGTTGGTTTGGGACAAGGATAGTAAAATGGCCTGCCGTGCACAGCAAAGGCAGCCAAAAGGTCATGGCCATCAGTCACTATTAGGCCGCGGCTCCCCCTTGCCATGGGATGCGACCCTTGCCCTTTATGCATGCCCGCGTTGTTTCCTTTGAAAAGAACCCCAGCTCCTTCTCCCGAATGGCAAATTCCCCAAAACAACTCATGAAACAACAAAGACCTGCACCCCGGTCCCCGCACTCCTGCACCCCTGCACCCCTTCACGCCTTCACCCCTGCACCGCTGCACCCCCACTCAAAAGCCTATGGGACCTCGACGCACACACCCGCACACACACACACACACACAAAGCTGACAACGCACATCCCCCTCCCCCCACTCCCCCATTCCCCCCAAACCGCCCGGGGATTTCCGCTCGCCGGGACACATATACTCCAACGCCTCAGACACCTTCTGCAGCGGCTGCACGCAGTCCTTCCAGTCCACGCCCCCGCTGATGGCCATGTACAAAGTCATCCTCGATCCGAACACTGGAAAGGCTTCCCCAGTTGCGTTTGCAGGAAAGGTCGACTCGAAGGTGTGCATTTTGTGGCTTACTCTTTCTCCAATGTGGTGGTAGGTTCAACTATGGGACTGAGTGACGCGACTTGTGGTTCCTCTGGTCTTGGAAACATTGAGCAAGCCACGACACAAGCCGCAGCTCCCGGGCACCTGAACAATGATGGGTCGGTGGCTCCTTTCATCCCTCGTGTTTCTCACAAATCAAACATTACACCAGTCCCACAATCTTTGCAATGCCATGTCTGGCATATCCCCTGGATCTTGAAGCTTTGCAAACATTTCGAGTGGCAAGCTGAGGGCACCTTCAAAAAGACGAGCCACCCAAAAAGTAGTGCTTGTGTATCCCATGATACCCCTGGGGAAAAGATTCACTTTTGCCTTAACACTCGTCCACCAATGTTCCTAACCAACCCCCCTTGATTAAAAAAAAAAAAGTCACTCGGACTGGTTGCTGAAACCAATAAATTAAAACCCTGGCTTTGGGCGACTCAGAGGGTCCACCAATATTTCCCAGTCAGATTGTCGCCCTGTGCCCCAAAGAGCAATTGAAACTGGCCCACCAAAACCTGACTTGTCACTGTGGAAGCGGTGTTAACACGAGTGTTACCAGCTTTGCACAAGGTCAACTACTGGGAACAGTGGTGAATTCGTCCTAGTATGCTCGTGTCTTTGGATTTGTTGCATCCAAGCTATGAAGCGGTTGTAAGTGCTACGAACCACTTCCCACATGCTTTCGGTTCCGGACCCAAGCAGCCCAGGGTGCTAGCTCTGACCGGTCAAATCCAAAGCATGGAAACTCTTTCTGCCAATGCCGAGCCTCGGCCGTGCGGATCAGGATCCTATCCCTAAAGCCAAGCGGCGTTCACCATAGTCTGGAAGAGGCATGCCCATGTTCACCGACCCAAACTGCGTGTTTGACAAGTTTCGTTGGCGGCGCCTGTTAGCATATCTGAGACGAAAAGCAACCGAAAGGCAACTTTTCCTGGGGGCGACCTTGGGTGGCCACGCTAGTAGAACAACTTGAACTCTTTGCAAGGGACAGGGCACTTGATTGTCCCGACAAGGCAAAAACAAAGACCTTGGTATTTGGTGGGTATTGGTCCGGTAGGTGGCTTTTTTGCTGGAGATGGGCCCTGTGGTTGGTTTCTTGCAATGTTGATTTTAGAGAGTGCGTCATCCACACAGGACAAATCTGGCTTGCCTCTGTTTTGAAAAAATGGTCCTTGGTCTTGCCGCAGTGTTTTGAGGTACTCTATTGCCAACAGGCAAAATTGTGGGTGTATTCAGGTTGACTAAGACTACGCCCTTAGCTGATAGGATCAATTACTGCAGCCCCAGGTCGTGGGAATTGGCCGCTGTGATACTGGAAGGCCTTGCCAAAATCTAAGCATTCTCGTGTTTGTTTGGCATGCTCTGTCACAGACGTGATACAACACCAAGCATCAATGTGCTGCCAAAAGACCATGGAAGACAAGGTTAACCTTTAGGGACCTCTGCAGATGGGTAAGGTGAAGCCGGAGAAGGCGTCTGACTCCGTCCAGGGCACATGGTGCGCGAGAGCGAGCCCCAGTACACCAGCAAGTTCTCATCCATCATGCCCGGAGCCTGCGAAGCGGACTTCGACAACACAAGTCTGACCAGCTGGCCTCAACTCAGCTTCCCTCTATTTGGTGGTTTGAAGGTTAGGGGTGGTTTCCCTTTCACCCTCCGCAAGAATCAGGGGTCAAATCTCCAAACAAATCTGAACCACCAACTACGCACCTAGATCAATATGGTTCTGGAAATACCACTTGAAAGGTTCCCATAGCCATTGTTGTATAGATATCGCTTGACTTGTTTGCGGATGTGAATGCGTCCTTTTGATCACACACACACACACACATGTGCATGGTCTAGTAACTCTGTTTGAGCATGGCGCCTGGATTCGATTTGAAGACTGTGATGCGTCATTATTCCTCAGCATTCTCAGTATTACATTGCTGGGATAGAATCAAAGTTCATTTGACTTTTCCTGTTGCTAGTCACTGGATTTGTCTGTCAGGAATCGAGGTGAACCCATTGGAATCATTTCTTCTCAGTATTGCTGGGCAAGCACTGGTTGCCACAAGTGAACAACAGCGAAATCGGGCGTTTTTGCCCAGGCTGACCTTGGAAACTTCTGCAAACCCGCTGAGAGCCTCCGAAAGATCCGCGCGAATCCCCTTCGGTTCCTTCGCGTTCAAAGCAAAGAGCATTCCAATCGGGTGCTCCGAAGGAAAACACACACACTCCGACGTGTCCGACATTTGATAGCTCGAAGACCCAGGCTCAGGTGGGACCTGCGGGCGTGAATATGTGCGAGCTGGTTTCTGAATCCCTTACCCCGCCCTTTCTAGTTCCACAGCAGGGAGATCTCTTCAAGGTTCGCGGAACTGAGTTCCGACCCAAAGGCAGCGCCTAAAAAATTGACGTGGGGTTGTGGGGTGCTTTACTCTCCTTGCGCAAATGGTACGTGCTGCGCCATGATCATAGGTGCAAAAAGTCAGTAATGGCCTCTTACCCTTGCGCCCCCCAATGAGCAAAGATCTCTCACAGGTCCCCAAAATGAACTTCGAGGCTCAAGCCGAGGCACGATATTCCGAGTCACAAGTAAACCACCTCCAGCCACAAAACCGAACTCACAGGGTTGCCCTGTTTCTTTGGTGACCCGTTGAATGGGGAACAAATGGGCTCCTGTTGGACGCTACAAACATATCTGTCTTCTGCAGCTCCGTTTCCGGTCCCCCGAGCGTCACCTTCCTGCCTGGGCCTGGGACAAGTAGTTGGCGGCCAGCTGCATGAAGGTCACTCCCACCTGCGGAAGCGCGGAAGCGACTGCAGCCAAACCAAACAAAACAAGACTGAACCAACCAAACCTGCCAAGCCTCAACCTGCCAATCAAGTCAACAGAACCGCAACAAGGCGGCTAAGATTGCATGCTTGGACCGCTTATGTGGCGCTTTCACAGGATTCAGCACACTAGGTTGGTCTCTCTTTGCTTGGTAACAGGGGAGCTGAGCATTTGAACACGTCAGTCTGAAATGGATGGTTCAGCTAGATGTTGCTTTGATTCTACGATTTCCTTTGCCATGAGGCTCAGAGTACAAGGTACGACGTGTTGAGAGAACTTTTGCTTCGTTCGCGACACGTGCCATTTCTCCCGACGTGACGGTGCCCCAGAATGGGCTCCAAGCAACATATTGCAAGCAAGCAGTTGGAAGCTGCGGGAGTCGAAGGGTAGCAACGGACAGGTCCTTCGGATCCCTATCAAATCCCTGATAAGGATAACTATGGATAACTAGTCCTTGGAGGAACTCATACTCCTCAATAGGGTTTCAGGGGCTCAAACAAAGGCGTTGCAATTATTGTTCGACGAAATCAAATAGAATGATTGCAGGCAATGTGTGTTCTTCAAATTATATCTGAAGCTCGCAATTCAGCATGAAACCCGCATTCGAAATACAGAATTGAATTTGAAACATGTTGTTCGGGCCTTAGTCGTCTTATAATTAGATCAGGTGGTTTATGTGAGCCCTCTAATTTTAACTCGGGTCTAGGCTGGAAAAACAGTCCGAAGGCATCCATTGAGTGCCTTCAAGGCTACATCAAACTAGGTGTTCAAAACAGAGGCCTTTGCTTCGGTGCGGGCCTTCCAACTTGTGAGAAAAAGCGCGCCCGAGATCAGACTCATGTTGTTTTTCAGTTGAAGGGGTGGGCAAGGGCACTCTTGGGTTTGGTTTGTCGGCGATGTCGAGCGCATCCCCCTTTTGAACAATGTCGGCACTTCCACATGTCGTTTTCTTTGTTGGCTTCTTGCGGCAGCACATTCTCAATGAGCAGACAAGCAGAGTCCAAAGTGTTGATGTTTGTTCCGACGCATCGGCTTCCAATCACTATATGAACAAACTCGAATACCGCTCTCCACATTCCCCAGCCATGAACATGAGGATCAGCAGGAAGACAAAGGCCCAGAGCAGTGGCTTTGCCGACCCCATGATGCCTTGGCTAACGCTCGCCAGCGCTTGGCGAATCGCCATCTTTTTGGGCCACGGTCACCTGAAAAGAAGGAACCCGAGGTCGCATGACCATCCGCTGCCACAAACCCATATAAAGGGTCTACCATCCCCCGGGTAAAAGGGTGGTTTGACCATGGCAAAGTCCATCGATATGCCCCTTGTGACACCGCCTGAGCTCTCTCTTTCTTGAAGCGACCGACACCCTCCAACGTGACGCCGGCCGAGATTGAGTGACATGGAAAACAAAAGAAACCAAGCCAGCCAAAGTATAGCCTAGTCGTTGCCGCGTTTGCGAAGCCATCTTCTGAAGCGGCAAAGTGCCTGACTCAGGATCATCGTCCTGCTGCAAAGGGATTGCAATGAGCGGTGGCTGTACAGGAATCGCGGCAATGCCCACAGTGGCGCGTGCAACAGCACAGAAAGAAATACTGTAGCAGAAATGTGCAAAACTGTAGCAGCGGGCGCTGGAGTGAATGCCATAGAGGGTTGGTGGTCTGGTGTCATGATTTTTTGCTGAAAACGAGGGGCCTCGTTAGTTAGTCGTCATCCCCTTGGCTTGCGTCTTTGGTAGGTGGCCACGGAAGGGTCTGTGCTCATTCAGGCCCAGTACCCACACTGTTTAAGGTCCACTTGTTGCTGCACTGATACACCAGTATCAAGGAACTGAGGTTGTCACAAACTGTACGGTCAGTGTACGCAAGTCGGATGTTCTTCTTGGTGCACGTGCTGCTTGGCTTTAACAAAAGCCAAATGCATTGCGGCAACTAAGTTTATGGCTTTAAGAGTCCAGTCACGACACTGGTTGCTAACCTGGTGGCAAGTCTGTGCCGTCTGAGACGCAGGGCTGGAAGTAATTTGCTTCAATGCCTCTTTGGCCATCACATCAGCAATGCGATTGCCTTCATGATATGATAGAAATCCAGGGTGCGTGAAGGATCGGAGGGCAGGTCCTGGTGGCTCTTCGGCTCGCGCAAGCTGTAATGGTGGCAATTCTTGCCGACGCAACTGCCAAGCGCCTCGATGAGGTCAAAGTTGTCTTTATGCCTATGAAGCGCCGGGTCTGGGTGTTGCAACGCTTCAATCGTCACTGTCATGGCACACTGTGAGTCCGCCGTCACAATTATAGCTGCCTTAGCGGTTGCAAGGACTACTGCAATAGGCAAATTTTTCAGCACGGTTCATGGTGTGCCTACCGAGCGGTTGGCCACATCTGAGTTTGGCACGGCTCAGCATGTCAGACAAAAGAATGCTTCCGTCAAGAATGTTTTCTTGTGTCAAGTTTCATATGCCACTAGGGCCCACGCACTGTCGTTCTCAACGTCACGAACGCGGATGTGCGCGGTCCCATCTATAAAGAAATTCCTGCGTCGCAACTCGAAGTTTCATCAAATACAGGGAGATGGACTGCTTGGGCATTTTGGCTTGATCGGACTTCATCTGTCGACATCCACTCTAACCACGGTTCTCGCAGTGCGCCACAATCACACACTATATGAAAATCATCCAGGCTTTCACGACACAAGCGACAGCTTAGCTCGTTGGCCGGTAACAAATGTGATTCATTGCGTGGTTTTGCAGCGAACCACCCCAATGATTGAGCAAGAGCGAACTCGTTGGGCTGAAGCTGCTTGCTGCAACGCTTGGCAAGTTCAAGGTCGATCGAGTGGACATCTTGCTATCGCTTGCGCCTTCAAGCAAGCGTCCGTGATGATGTCATTCCAAGCCAAGTCCACACTCCTACACAAGTCAGCTTTAGATGCAAATGCAACATTGATTTTTCCGCAACTCTCTCTGCAGCGGATAAGGTCAGGCTTGAGGGTCCGTCTCGTCTGAACGGCAAGTTTAGCTAGCGATGCAGCTGGTCCACGCGCTTTGTCTCTGCTTGCTTTCCATTGAGGCTGTTGATACGTGACCGCCAGCTGCCACATTGATTGGATCACCGCAGGCATCCGTCTAATTTTAAAAGCGTAGGATGGTGGTCAAGAACTGCTTGGCTAGTGCACGCTGTGGACCTAGGTTGACCTCATGCGCAAACGCACACATCATCCACGGGTTGTTGCAACTCCTGTCTGGTAGCAGGAGGGTCGAAGTTGCCTGGCGCAATTCGTCTATGCGCTTGGGCGCTGGGATCATAATTTCACGCGTGCCTCTGATTCCGACCGTTTGATGCCTTGCGAATGCAAACGCTCTCTGAGGCCTTTCTCGCTAAGGTGCGCTCTGACATGTTGTCAGGTCACCGCGCGCCCTGGTTTGACTGCTTAGACGAGGGCGTCAACCCCTCCCACGAAGGGTGTATGGGCATGTGGGCGATTGTCGAAGTCCACTACACACACACACGAGATGCAGTCGATCCAGAGGAGGTCGTCCAGAGTCGTCATTGCACAAGCCGGAGCGGATTGTTTGCCCAGGAGAGGGGAAACAGGCGCCAGCATGCAAGAGCACTCGCATCAAAACACATGGTTTGCCGCAGCGCCTGGACGCTCAGAAGGATAGCCAAACAAGCATAATGGTGCCCCATCCCTCCTGAGTCACAATCGAAGCCCTTAGTCACAATCAAAGCCCGTAGTCACAATCGAAGCCCGGTGTTAATAGGCTCCGCCCAAAACTGGCCAGGCAGCAAAAAGGGCTTCGCGCCGAATAACACCCCCTGAGCCATTGGTGGAAGGCCAAGCCTGGAACAGTTCGGGCCAAAGGGCTGCCTGAAACCAAAAATGAAACTCGGGTTTCAGATCACCATAGAAGGGAAGAATCGTTGGCTTCCTGGTGCTGTCCAAAACCCAGGTGAAAGACTTTCAACTTTGGGGTCGTTGCTCGGTTTGCTCCCGAAGGGGTGGACTTGGTCTTCATGTGGCATAGATGTGTTTCGTATCGTTACAAGGGCCCTTCCGTAGGAGGGCCTTTTTCAGGTTTTCGGGCCTGAAGCTAAAGGATGTTTCGAAGAGAATCCAAAATAAATACGCTACCTGCTTTGTGGATGTCCATGGTTGGCTTGCACTCAGATACCTTTGACTAAAGTCGCCCAGTCGAAATTCCCAACAAACGCCCAACATAGACCGCGAAAGTCCCCCAGCCAAGGCCTTAAGCAACGGTCGAGGCGAAAGGCTTGGGGGGGGGGGGGGGGCAGAGCAATACCAACAGGGAGGAGCGCACTGGCATCCCAACGAAATGGTCATCAAGAGAAACGGAAGGAGGCTTCAAAGAGAATCCAAGAGAAAAGCGTTAACTATGCAGCTTCAGTAGGCAACCACTTGCACATGGAATTCAAGGACACTCCCCAAATTGGACTTCCAAAGCATGAAAAGGAACCTTTAAGGCGAATTTGCATTGAACACCTTTTGTTGGCGCCCAAACGGAAATCTTTAAACGTCCTGTTGCGAGTGTCTTGTCTGCAGGGTACCTTATTGGTGGGGACAAAAGGAGAAAAAAATTCAAAGCTTGCAAATTCCTGTTGGAAGCATGTGGGCATATGGCCATAAATCTCACCCTCAAAAGTGGCTTGCGGTTGTAAAATCTTTGGGTATTCTGATGTCCACCAATGACCAAAGGGGCCATGCCCAATCAAAAACATTTCAATATGCGTGGGGGCAGAAGAACTAGCCCCCAACCTTGGTGTAAATGTTCATTGGACATGGACATGCTCGATCGCATTTCGATGCGGGTGGCCGTTCACCATGACCCGGAGCTCTGAGAAGAATCGCAGCATGCGGATGATCCGGGCGACCCGCACCAGGCGCATCCTTGGTGTGACTGGGTGAACTTCAAGTGGTTCCTCAAATCGACTTTTGGGGCTTTTCTTTGAACCACCGTTTCAAGGAGATAATTTGAGGATGTCGCTGTAGTGGACCCGCCGGCTACCCTCGTCATGGAACCCAGTCGGACACTTGGTCTAGCCTCCCTTTCCTCAGGCTCGTTCGGGCGACCCACACTCCAAAGATGCCAATCTCGCGCACCCCGGCGAACCCCCGACTCGTGGGGAGAAACAGAACGGGTTGCGGAGTGGCCAGCAACCACTTGTGTGACACCGCTCGGAACACCGACCCTCCTGACGCATTCTTCACTTGAAGGGTCACAGCACCAAGCGATATGGGACAAAACAACATGCACATGTTGGCAGCGAAAAGCGGAGGCTGTACCCTCCCGCCCACAATCATGAAACCCATCAGAGAGTGCCTTGCATTGACAAGTGATCTGCGAGGACACCTCAGTCAGGTCCAAGTTAGCGGATTGGAGTCATGGTCTTGAGTCTTTCTAGTGACTACTCCACCAGAACATCAAGTGGTTCCTCGTGATCATTGGCGCAACCCTGTCCCTATGGACACCGTCACGTGTTGGTGCTGAGTGGCAGCACAACCGAAGTCCATGTCAAACGATATGTTCACCAGGGCCATGGGGGAAAAATATTGTCGTCCTCTTGAAGTACGGTCAGCCTAAACGACCGTCAGCACACAGGGATGCTTCTCCTTAGGTCTTGTGGCTCAAACCGTTTGCTACTCACGTTTCCTCTCACATCAAGTGGTAACTTCCCCATTCTTTCTGATCCTTCTTGCCAGAAGACCAGACAAAACCTTGGGAAAGGGGCTAGCTTTGGAAAAGAACGAATCATCGTCGCTGCATCCCAGTGCAGTCAAGAAGTCCAGAAATGAGAGGGGAATCAACGCCGCATTTGGGTGACCATGAGTTCGATCGGATTCTATCGAATGGGCTCCTTTCGGATGCTACACGCAATCGCAACCCGTTGATTAGTCCCCCGAAACCCACCCGGATCACCCTTTCAGCAGCAAACCCCCTTTCTTGGCTCAAGCCCCCGGAATTCCTGGCAAGGTCAAACTTCCGGCTCGGGGAAGCCACTCTCAACTGCGAGCTGTTGACCACTCGTTCAAAAAAAAAAGGGGGGGACAAAAAAAACGAAGGATCACCCGAGAGGTCCACCGCGAAGTTCGGTCAATTCCCGCCGTGGGCGCATGCGCAGCATCCGCAGCGCCGAAACCTCCAGGAAGGACGCAGCTGCCAGCAGCGCCTCGTGGGGAAGCAACGGGGTCAACCTGGAGTCCTTGAGACAACCGACCCTTTTTGGCGATGTCCTTCATGGAAACCTGGCTCTTTCTTCTGGGCTTCGGTCTGTCCTCCGGTTTCTGGGTTCCATCCTCGCTTTGGAGCCGTGCTTTGTCACGGCAAAACCAGAAGAAAAGCAACGCATGTAGGCCCGAGTCAAAGGAAGAACCCACATCGCTCCGACGGAGATCAGAAAGTGCAACTGGGGTGGTTTCATGACAATAGATGCCTCTATTTGAGAGTTCGACACCAGATGTTTTGGAATAAGTATGATGGTTCTTTTCTCCGATTTGGTTCCGCTTGTTGCATTTTTGTCAAACGGAAACTAAGACAAGCCAAGCCCCATATCTGGGGGGGCCCTACATCAAGGAGCCTTAGGAATCCAGAGGGATGGAAGAAACAATTTCTCCAGCAAGGGAACCCTCCGCAATGACCAAATCATCCGAATGAATTCCAAACACATCATGCCTTCGTGTTGCGTTTTCTCCTGGAGGGGTGTCATTGACTAGGCGTCAACACGATGCAGAAGCGGGAACACCATTTGGTGGATGGATGCCGAATGGCCATGGGAGTGGAACGTCGACGACCTCCAGGAAAGTTGTGCTCGCTTCTTGACAACCTCCCGTTTGTCCTTTGCTCATCCATCAGTTCGGAAACATGCCCATGACTCCGGATTCTGTGCGGCTTCGTTTTTGTTTGCCGGAATCTACCTATTGGAACACTACCATCCTCTTGACATGGCCCTTGTTCACCTCCATGATTGTCGGACAAAAGGACAATGTTAGCTTGGTATGTGGCCAATAAATTTCATGGCAGCTTGATGCCGACCATATCTTGCTAAGCTGGGAGGTCGGAATTTTTCGAGTTCCCTTGCAACACGAACCAAAAAGGGCTCCCGTGAAACGTTTGCCCTAGACCCGTAGACCCGTCCGAACCGTCCGAACCGTCCGAACCACCTCCCACATTTGCCCTCTGGCCCGCGGGGCCCTAGCCCCTTGGAGGCCAGGGCCATCCAGGGCCATCTAGGGCCCCCGCGCCCAGCTCCTCCACCACGGAGGAGGAGACCAGGCCCAGGTCCATCCAATTCCTCGCGTTCCGAGTTCCCAAAACCAGAGGTCCACCGTTTAAAGATATGAGGACGGAAGGCGTTCCAGGGTTAAGGGACCCCCTGAGTCAAAAGCTAACGCCATTTGCTGGGGTTTGAGGGGAAATCTAAAAAAGCTGCTAGAGATCTCAGCGGGGTAAGGTTCCACCCAAAAACCAACCATGCACTGAGGGTTGCTTCTTGGGACTGCCCCTTTGCTCAGAAAGAATGAAGGAATCACTTGAGAGAGAGTGAACAGTTCCGTACGTTTTGTCGGAAAGCCATGATTCCCTGATACTTTGTGCAGGCATGTCAGCCCACTGTGGTGAATCATGGGGCTATGGCTAAGTCATTCATGAGAGGGATTCTTTTCAAAGAAAAATCCAACCACGAAACAGGGGCCCCGCTTCCGAATGAACGGCATTCAACATGACCACTTGTTGAAGTCAAACTGGGCGGGTCAAAGGGAAGTGAGGGTGGGTTATACACTTACTGTATTCCAGTGGTTAGAGGGTTACAGCAGGGGTTATGGGGTTGTGAAAGGGGTTCTGGCAGGATAGGGGCTTCTTTCACTGAGCAAACTTTGGGGAGACTCGCAGATGTGTTGGCCAATGTTTAAGGGAGCGACGTGGGAGGCGGGAGCTGCCACAGGTGTGTCTCAGACTGGACCCTCGGTGGGGATGGCGTGCGGACAAGAAACTCTCCCCTTCCACCCTCGAACATGGAACAAAAACTGACTGGCGGTCCTTTCACGTCCCGGGTGGGAGGGGATCTTTGAGTTGGCTTCTCAGGGGTTGCCACTTTGGGATCGGAGGGCCTTGGCGCTGAAAGTTCGCAGGATCTGCCATCCGAGCGAGGGGACAATCAAGGATCGCCTGTTCAATCAAGGAAGCAAGAGTGAGAAAACCGTTGAGGTTCATCCTGAAAGGAACCCCCACGTGAACCCAAGCAAGTCAATGCACCACAATCATTCAGCGGAGCCTTCGCGCGTGAGGTTGCAAGCCCTCTTTGCGAGTTTGCGATAGTTAGCCTTGACAGCGCTGGGATGTCAAAGACAGAATGTCTATGAGTCACAGCGTTCACGCCTTTCATAGATGCCTTGTGGCAATAGGCACATGTGTTGACCTACTCTTTCTGACAAATCAAAGGGACACCAAAAGCCCCCTACAGCCCTTTTTCGACCCCTCGCCCTGGCCATGTTGCTTTTGTTCCATCACCCTGCCCGTCACTGGAACAAACACTGAGACGATCTCATCTCTTCATCCCCCTCCATCCCCCCTATCCGAGCGTCCACCGGAACTGGGGATTCTCGCAGCTCAAGAAGGGACAGAAGCCCTGCAAGGACGAAGCCCAAAATTCACCTCCCTTGAAGCCAACCCCCCCCCCCCCCTTGGAGTGCCCCAACTTGCGGCCTAAATCACGCCCAAAATGAGTTTGTCACACCCTTTCCACAAGGGAATTTTGCCAACCTTCACCCCTAGCAGAATGGAAGTGTTTCTGAAGGGACTTGGGGGCTTTTAAAGGTGTTGTCCTTTTTCTGGAGGAGGAAGACCATACGAAACTCGATCGTCTGTTTTGTTTGTGTAAGTGCCTAAATAATTCTCTATGGTTGTCTAAATTCTCAATTCCTACCCCCAAGTAAAGCAACCGGTCTTTCGGGCATGGCACAAGGTCGAAATAAGTTGGAACAAATCCCAAAGAGGAGAACCATTGTTTCCAAAAGCTGGCTGGAGCACCGTTTGTGTGGTAAGGGCCGCAAATAATTAAAATGGGATAGTGGGAACTATGAAGCCAACTCAGAAACCCAATACGTCATGATCATAGCGCAATTATGTGCGACTACTTAGCTCCTCGTATTGCCTGCGTTGGATGCTCGAGCTGGCTGTGGCTTGAACCCAAAGAACCAAAGTGCCAAAAGACAACAGGTGTTGGATTCCTTTCGATTGTTGTGGATCCCCCAAAAAGGAAGAACAAGAAGAGGAGAAGAACAAATGACATTTCTAGAGTGGCATCCAAAGGGCTCCTTGAAGCTCGAAGATGGAGATAATCGCAACTTGATTATTGCCATCTCCACCTACGCCTTGTCTGAATTGGTGGGTTGCAGGAAGGAGCTTCCATTTGATTGGTAACAAATCATGGACACAACAGGGGATGCACGCGCAATTGGTGGGTCAGCCGTGCACCCTGATGGAGGCTATTGACTCATGATGGTTTGGAGCTGCCTTAGCGTTGGCTTTAGTACTGGTGTCATCCTGTACTGGGCTCGGCTACGGTTGCTTGATTCCTCTTGAGTCACCTCTGCACTGGTCAGCAGCGTGCAGATTGGCCCACATGAAAGGGCCAATTGGACTAACTGGTGTGGTGGGATAGCTGATTACAGAAAGGCGCAAGGTAGGCCGGAATCAGCTCAACAAGACCAACAGGGCCATGACAAATGCCATGCTGCCCACTTGGCATACCTCTTTCTCTTCTACTCTGTGGTTCCAGGACCGGGAGTTGTGAGAAAGCTTGCCACTGGCATCGTGCGCTATAGCCTCTGCGGGTCTTCCGTTTGGCGTGGTAAAATGTCCCGCAGTGACATCCCCACACCCTGTCTTCTATGCTGCTCCGACATGCTGACCATCGCACAAAGCCATGAGCGCCACTACAATGCACAACTCACTGCAGCCAACCTGCAATTCTCGTTGAATTGAGAAGGATCACTCTTCCAACCGCTTTGATGTGTTGACGATGAGTCAAGGCAGTCCCACAATAGGGTTGTCACAGAGGGAGTCCGGAACAAAAACACATCCCCTTCAGGCTTCTTTAGGGGAATCAAACATGTTGTGCTGTGTGGCACCCAGTATAGACAAGCAGTTGGAACTCGCCTTCTGTACACAATGTGTACATGTCAAACATGTGGGCCAAGGTCATGGTTCCCATGAAAAGGAATCCTTATCATTGTCTAAATTCCTTGTTCTTGAGCATCAGGTGATACATTTGAACGTCCACGTCTGGTTCAAACCAGAGACTCTGCGGGTGTAAAAAAAGAAATCATAGGGAATCACAGGAAGCCATGGGAAACCATTGAAGAAAAAGAGCATACAAAACCATAGAAATCCAGAAGAAACAAATAGAAAACCCGTTTCAACGCTGTCTTTTTCGACCCGATCTCCGCCGACATGCTTCGCCTCCGATACCCAGCGCACAAATAGCTCCAGGGCAAAGAGGAAGTTAAAGGCCATGTCCAAGCCACCTATGACCCACAGACCCAAAAGGACAGGGGAACGTTGAGTTGGCCTCACAAAGGTGGGGACCTTGTTGACATGTCTGGGCGTGAGTTTTGTTTGAGAACCACCTGGTCACCAGCTGCTTTGAGGGTGTCCCCAATTGAAATTGCCCATGTTAACGATTGGCAGCGACCGTGGCGCTTGTAGGCTGGAACATCAGGGGGTTGGAAGAAGTGCAAGTCCTGCTGTTTATTTGGACTCAGGAATTCGTCGACAGGCGAAGGAGTTGCAACAAGAACTCCCAAGGCTGCATTTGACACAACTTGCTCACTTGTTGCCAAGGAACTCTAAAAGGAGTTACAAGCCCAGAGGATTTCTCCCGGAAAAGGCAAGGCGCACCCTGGTGCAAGCAAGATCTTGGATCAAAGAACTGGAGATTCACTGAGGATTTCTTACTCAAACTGAGACTGCCGTCGTGGAGACATCGAAAGGATCCGACCATGGCAGTTTGGAACGCGAATACGGCGCAAACTGTTTCTCGTTTTCCGGTTTTTGCGTTTCCGCTTGGTTTCTCAAGAATTCCAGACCGGATGCGAGGGCGACAACACGCGCTCCGGCGGCTTGGCGTGGGCATGGCATGGCTCTGCAAGAAACCCTTGTCTGGTCGTCTATAATCCCGTCCCTGATGGTAACCAAGCCGAGGTAGCATGGCACAGGAGGTTGTCCCTAGCTCTCCACAAAAAGACTGCGCAACGAGGCTGCGGAATCCGCAGCTGTGGCACCCCATGTCGACGTGTATGTCCCTCATAAGCCCTTCCACAAGAACGGAGCTCTTCTCCAGGTCCAAAGTGACATCCTCAAATTTGGTTTCCTTGTGGTTTCAAGAGAAACGCCCAAGAGTCATTCCAAGAACTCCCAAAACCCTCAAAACTCTCAAAACGCGAAACCAAATGGACCTTTCTTGGCCTCCTTCCGCTCTCGGAACGGCCAATCCTGTGGCTTGGCTCAAGGGTTTGGCGAACCTCCAAGGGCTTGACGCACGAAGAAAAAAAGCGTTTTTTGGGGTGTCTTTTTAGGGGACCTCCTAAAATGGTGGTTGTTTCTTTCAGCTTTCGCTAGAGACCAAAGGGGGTCCCCTCAAACAAAGACACGCCCTGTTGTTCAACCGTTAGTTGGGTTCCCTTCTGCCACAAGGGTCGGATTTAAACAGCTTTGCCCTTTGAAACATGCCGATCGTGACTGCCAAGGAGCGGAAAACAGGGTGCTGTGAATCCAGGGCATGCTGGATGGTGTAGTCAGCTTCTATTCCTCAGTTGGGTCTCGCCTTTGGGGACCTCTGAGCAGGACCTCCTGTTCGTTTCTTTCTAGAAGCGGGCCCCATTGTGGGACGGCCCAGGGAATCGACCACATGGCTGTGCTGCCCCAAACCCCTCCCCACCCAAACTTGCTCCAGCCCAACCCCCCCCCCCGCCAAAAAATAGTCTTCATGGCCAGGCCCTGTCTCGTGTCTGAGGTTCAGTCCAACTAGTCCAAGCAAGCCCAGCCCAACCCAGCCCAGGCAGCCCGGCTGCCCAACCACTTTAGACAGCAACTTATCCAAGCAAACCAGCTGCCCAGCCGGAGGGCCAGCCAGCAACCTAGGCCAGCCCAGCCGCAGGCCCAGCCCAACAACACAGTCGATGAAGACTGCTGCGCGCGCCCGCGCAAGCGGCCGATGCCCGACTCTGACCAATCCACGCTTGAAAGAACCCCATGCCAACACAGTCGATCAAGACTGCCGCGCGTTGATCACGAGACTTTCTGCGCAACTTCCGCCCATGACATCTATTGCCTTCGTACGTAGCGTCATAGACTCTTGGTTCTATGACTCACTCCTGGTCCTATGCATCGCCTTGCCCTCGCCTCGGGGATTCCTGCGCAACTTCGGGCCATGACATCAATTTGGTCCAACGATGCCAGAACCTGTCCATTCCTGCATCGCCACTTGACCAGCTCTGCTGCTTGCAGTCGAACCACAGACGCTGCGTGCTTGGCTGAGCCGAAGCGGGCAACGCGCAGTGTTTACAATTACTTAGTGTGCAAATGGAAATGGTGCGAACAAATTAAATGAAATGGGAAATCGAGTTGGACCCCTGCGTTAAATATGAAGCTAAAACTGTAAAAGAAGTTGGAAGACATCCCATCCCCTTCACCTCCCCTTTTTCCTCCCGCACGTCCCTCCCACACTGGACTAGCGATAATCTTCCTGCCAAGCATCCAATTGTCGCAGCGCACAGTATCACCAGAGCCGAGCACAGCATCTCAAAGCGCTTGTGAGCGACGATCCTTGGCGCAAGTCCCTCAATACCCCCAACTTGCAACCAGAGGACCTGGACACCTAAAGGACCTGGATTTACAAAGAACCTAGGACATAGAAACAAAAGAACCTGGAAACAGAAAGCACATGTCAATTCCGGAAACTCCCCCTCTTCATTTCTTCTCCCGAGGGACAAACAACTTTCTGGGCTTGTCCAAAAAAATGTGCCCCCCCTGTTTGGATAAACTTGCATGAGACACCCAAAGCAGACCAACCACCCCGAAGGGTGAAGAACAACTTGGAGAAACACACAAACACAAATGGGCTTGTCTCTGAATAGGAGAACCCATACAACGAGCGGCGTCCCTTTCATTTCTCGTTGAACCAATCCCAACAGGGGTACCCTGCAGAAAGGACACGACCATGTGTCAACCAAGAGCACTTTGAACATCAGCTGCCAAGAACAGCTACCGGCACTGGAGAGGGTATGCTGAGCAAGAGTCACCCACTGAAATTCAAGATTGTGGGCATGACTTGTAGTTGGGGCCCTGACAGATTCGCGCTCACCAACCGAACCTAAGAAACACCAACAGCCTGGGTGAGATTGCGGTTGCAGGTGGAAAGCAACCTGCTTACCGAGTCGCTTTAAGAACTGAAGATATCAGCCAGTGCTGTCCATTAGATCTCTCGGAGAGTTTGGAGACACCAAAACAATACCTGTTGGTCTTGTGAATGTCCCCTTCAAAGTGAATACTGAGCGTTGCTCATAAGCTTATTTCCCTCGCGAGTTGCAAGAGCTCAATACAGCAATTCCAGGACCGCCACACCCAAAAGCTTGGGGAAAAAGCAAAGATCAAGTAACCTTGGCGTGTCCGCTTAGTCCAAAAAAGGAAACCAGGGGCACTAAGAGACCTGCTCTTCACGCTTGGCGAGGCTTCGGGTCGGGCATATCGCGCTGAGAGGCTGTATGCAGCAGCGGCGCAGCCAGAACACCTTCTGATCCTGAGCCGTACATGGCGACTCCAAAAACTTGGGCCATGATGTCATACTATAGTTGTGGAAGCCACAAAGATTGCAAGGGAAGGCAAACCAGTGGAAATCAACCCTAGGAAGCCTTATGCATGTAGAAAATCCCATGACCATCCCCAGCAACCCAAGTAAGTCTTTTGACCGCGGAACACATGAAAAGGCCTCATATGGCTTGGCCTCGAGGCTAAAACTCTGAAGCCCAGCGGCCATGGGAAAAACAAACACACACACACACACACAGACAGACACACTTTTTCGTTGGTTCATGCTACAGGGAACCCCTTCCCAAAAAACGAACACAAGTTGCCACTGGGCAACTGAGGTCTGTTTTCTTGGTTCACATTCTTATTGTGCCATGATTCAACCTTCCGCTATCCCGTGGGCCAAGCTTCCGGGGCGTGAGCCGTTGCTTCCGCCTGCGTGTGCTTGTTAGAATTGCTTCTGCGGATTTCCGCAGGCATGCTCATGGTGGGCTACTGTCGCAACTCTTGTGGTTTGACACCAAAACCTTTTGCGGAGGCTTTCGCGAGACAAACCCTTCAGCAAACCCTCTGCAACTGCAGTCCGCCTGTTTAATGTCCGATTCCCCACATAAAACGAGTTTAGCTTTTTTTATTTTATTAAACAGGCCTGACAGGACCCCCTCCCCCAATACTTCGTGAATATAATAAGTGTTTTTCCTAACAAAATGCAATGTTGTTAGAGGGCCCCACAGACCCCCAAAATTTACGGACGCCCCGCCCCCCCCACACAAAGTTCAAATCCGCCCTGGTGTTGCCGCTGCTGCTTTTCTATCCATGCTCATACTGGTAGAATGCCAAAGCAAAGAAAGCTGCCAGCTTTGCACTAGTACTAGCACAGCCGTGAAGCAGTGCCAAGCCAGCACAAACATCAGACAAAACTCCCTGAAATCCAAAAAGTTCATCTCCTGAAAGTGATCTTCTTCATTCAACCCCTTTGAAAAAAAGGTGGTTTGAGAAGGTCACATGAGGTACCCCGCATGAGTGCCCAACCCATGTTGTTGATAAATGGGGTTATGTAGGCCACGCCTACTCTTGAGCTCCAGCAATACTAAATCACATGGAACTCCAATCCAACAATACTAAACCAAATAAATGGAAGCTCAAAACAATTCAAAAGGAAGCTCCAGCAATACTAGATCGAATTGAAAATACACTAAATGAATAAATAGAAGCTCAAATCAATTTGAAAAATCAAATTCAAAAGGAAGGTCCAGCAATGCTAGATCGAATGGAAACTCCAATCAAAACACTAAATCATGCAAATGAAAGATAAAATCAAATTCAGAGGAAGCTCCAGCAATACTAAATCAAATGGAAACATGGACCTCCTTTTGCATTTTTCTGGAGTTCTGGAATCCTCTTTTCCAATTCAAAAGTAGTATTGTCGAACAATGAAGTAGCATTGGCCAATACTAAGGTGGTATTGGCCAATACTAAGTAGACCTTCCCGATTATTTCAGATCCAGAATCTGATGTTTGGAGGAAAAACCTATTCTGGACCTTTTCGGGGAAACAAAAGGGGGGGGTTATTAATCCGATGTCAACATCACGAAGAACGAACCTCAATGGGAGAGCCCCAAACCATGCTCTTGGGGTCGTGCCATTCGCGCTGTTGCTGAGTGGCGGCAGGCACCATCGTCCCAGCCCGCAGGTTCTTGTCCCTCACGCCAAACCTTGGGTTGCGAGACGGAGGATCCTTTCCCACATGAAGTTCACACTTAAACAGAAACCATCCCTGATCAGTACGGTCCTCCTTGTTGCTCCAAAATCCTGGTAACGCGCGGGTGTCGAACCTGTTCTCCTACTTGCGTCATTGGGTTGATCGCTGGAATGAAGCAAATGCTCCCACGACAGCTTTCTCGCCCCAGGCCCTGCACACAAAGCGGCTCTTTCTGCATCTCGGCAAAGCTCTGCTCGTTATCCTCCGTCTGCGACCTTTGCAGGAGAATATTCTGGTCTCAAGGAGGAAGGAGACCCCCCCCTTCACATTGACATGGAACCCAGAAAGCCGCCATTTTGGGGCGAGATATTTTTTTGGGTGCCCATTTTTGGAGGTTGGTCCATGTTTACGCGCAGACCCTGGCGTGCGGCTCATTGCAGCTCTAACAGGTTTGTCAGTCCATACTCAGTGGACATTAAATTGTCAGTCTCCCGAAGGAGAGGCTTCAGAGCCTTCTTGGCAAGGTCGCTGGTTTGATTCAGGCCGGCTGTGGCCAAAACGGCCACAGCGCCCGAGAACTGTCGGATGATGGGGCTTAGACTAACCACCACTCAAATGGTCCTCTAAACTGAAGCATATTGAATATTGTTCCCCTGGAGATTTGCACGGAACCCAAATACAATACTTGTGAGGCCCCTTGTTTGGGCTTCATGTGAATTTGCTGGAAGTAGTGGGTGGGGAGAAAGGTGTTCTTGACTGTGGAATGGTACAAATAATGTCTCACAGGGATGGTCGCCACATGTAGCAAAGCCTGGCCCAGGCCCGACCATGATTGTAAGAAATCACCCAGTCTGTGATACTGCAGTGGGGCCCAATAACCACTTCGTTTTGAAGAGGATTCTCTTTGATATCACAGAAAGTGGCAACCTCAAACCCACAACTACTCCCTTCTGTCTTTACGTAAAGGGGATGACGAAACCGAATGGGACATCTACTTTCAGCCAGCTGTATGTCATGCAAACGTTCAGCCCTTCAGCCCCCATCCTCATTCTAAAGCCGCTTACATGGCTCAAAGTTGGCAAATGGCAATGGTGTCCAGCTGCTTGCCCTTCAAAGATGTCTGACTTCATCCTCACCTAGATCCCCTGGGCAACGGCGGGTAAGACCTTGAAGCAGTCCTTGACGTGTTGATTGGGTATGCTAGAAGGACCTGAATGAATACAGTACATGTCTTGGGCTTGTGGGGTATGTTGAATGAAGTGATGCGGATCAAATTAAAAATGAGTATTGACAGTATTGAGCCCCCTATATCATGACGCACGGTGGAGCCCAAGCTGTGAGCGAAACCCGGGACCCTCTCCCCACCCCCGCCTATTGAAGCGCATCGTTCTGGAGGGAGACACCCGCGCCTGCCGCGTGTTAGACTCCTCTTGTTAGGAAACGAAGGGTTGCCTCTTTATCTCAGAGCCAGAGAATTAAAGAAGCAGGGATCAGGGAAGGTTTTGGAAACCCAGGACACCCAGTCTGCTCTTGCGCCCCGTTCCTTTGTTTGCCCAGAGGTTCAAGCTCCACGGTTCATCATCTTCAGAGGAATCCCTTGAGACCTTGCTTTGAGGTTCCCTTGTTCCATTAGCTTCCCGCGGCTAGTTGGTTGGCTTGCATTGGTGGTTTGGAGGTTAGGGGTGGTGTCCCATTTACCCTCTACAAGAACCATGGGTAATCCCCAAACCACCAATCCAAACCACCGATTCAAGTTTGCCTGATTCTATCTTCGTTTGCACAACAAAGAAACATGTGGTATCGCTGCGCTTGAGACGCGTGACACTTCTTTCCAGGCGCCACCAAATGGATCCTGAGGCTGATGCCTCTCCCTTCCATGTGTCTCCTTTGCGAACCCCCCAAAATGGTAGGAGCCCGTTTGGCTCAAACTGTATCCAAAGACGATTGCGAATTGTTGGACAACCCCAATGTTGGTTGTGCTAGGAAGCATCCCAAAAAAGCAACCCTCTGATTGCCATGCGTGTTCTGCACATTGGAGAGAGGATAGACTATTTGAGCACAGGATTTATCAAGCCGGCCAAATATGGAACGGCCATACCCAAAAGACATACAATTTGTGACACCTTGCCCCTGTAAATCAGCCAGTTTGTCCATTTGTTCCAATCTGTTGGTCTGGCAAACCCACCATAGTATCATAGCACGATTCGCAACTCACCACTCGAAATGGACGTGCTGGTGGTTCCTCGCCCAGCTGCGAGTGTGTCTACCTCCGCCAAACTCGAACTGTTTCTAAACTGGAGCATCTATTCCTTTTGGACACTGCATACCTGTCCTTGCCTGTCCCTTGTAAGTTGCTCATTTGCACAAGGAAGTCCGCATGGATGGCTCGGCAGTTCATTTGATGTTTACTTGCCATCCTCAGCCATGCCAGCACGGCAAGCTAGCCTCCAAAGCAACACAAGTGCATGCCTCAGAGCGAATGGCTCATCGCAGAAAGAGATCCGCATGGATGGCTCGGCAGTTCATTTGATGTTTACTTGCCATCAACGACCCTGCCAATATTCAAGTTCGCCTCCAAAGCAACACAAGTGCATGCCTCAGAGCGAATGGCTCATCGCAGAAAGAGATCCGCATGGATGGCTCGGCAGTTCACTTGCCATCAACGACCCTGAATGGCTCCGCAGAAAGAGATCCGCATGGATGGCTCGGCAGTTCATTTGATGTTTACTTGCCATCATCGGCCATGCCAGCACTGCAAGCTAGCCTCCAAAGCAACACAAGTGCATGCCTCAGAGCGAATGGCTCATCGCAGAAAGAGATCCGCATGGATGGCTCGGCAGTTCATTTGATGTTTACTTGCCATCATCGGCCATGCCAGCATTTCAAGTTCGCCTCCAAAGCAACACAAGTGCATGCCTCAGAGCGAATGGCTCATCGCAGAAAGAGATCCGCATGGATGGCTCGGCAGTTCATTTGATGTTTACTTGCCATCCTCGGCCATGCCAGCACTGCAAGCTAGCCTCCAAAGCAACAACAGTGCATGCCTCAGAGCGAATGGCTCATCGCAGAAAGAGATCCGCATGGATGGCTCGGCAGTTCATTTGATGTTTACTTGCCATCATCGGCCATGCCAGCACTGCAAGCTAGCCTCCAAAGCAACAACAGTGCATGCTTCAGAGCGAATGGCTCATCGCAGAAAGAGATCCGCATGGATGGCTCGGCAGTTCATTTGATTTTACTTGCCATCCTCGGCCATGCCAGCACTGCAAGCTAGCCTCCAAAGCAACACAAGTGCATGCCTCAGAGCGAATGGCTCATCGCAGAAAGAGATCCGCATGGATGGCTCGGCAGTTCATTTGATGTTTACTTGCCATCCTCGGCCATGCCAGCACTGCAAGCTAGCCTCCAAAGCAACAACAGTGCATGCCTCAGAGCGAATGGCTCATCGCAGAAAGAGATCCGCATGGATGGCTCGGCAGTCCATTTGATGTTTACTTGCCATCATCGGCCATGCCAGCACTGCAGGCTAGCCTCCGAAGCGACACAAGTGTATGACTCAGAGCGAATGGCTCATCGCAGAAAGAGATCCGCATGGATGGCTCGGCAGTTCATTTGATGTTTACTTGCCATCCTCGGCCATGCCAGCACTGCAAGCTAGCCTCCAAAGCAACAACAGTGCATGCCTCAGAGCGAATGGCTCATCGCAGAAAGAGATCCGCATGGATGGCTCGGCAGTTCATTTGATGTTTACTTGCCATCATCGGCCATGCCAGCACTGCAAGCTAGCCTCCAAAGCAACACAAGTGCATGCCTCAGAGCGAATGGCTCATCGCAGAAAGAGATCCGCATGGATGGCTCGGCAGTTCATTTGATGTTTACTTGCCATCCTCGGCCATGCCAGCACTGCAAGCTAGCCTCCAAAGCAACAACAGTGCATGCCTCAGAGCGAATGGCTCATCGCAGAAAGAGATCCGCATGGATGGCTCGGCAGTTCATTTGATTTTTACTTGCCATCATCGGCCATGCCAGCACGGCAAGCTAGCCTCCAAAGCAACACAAGTGCATGCCTCAGAGCGAATGGCTCATCGCAGAAAGAGATCCGCATAGATGGCTCGGCAGTTCATTTGATGTTTACTTGCCATCATCGGCCATGCCAGCATTTCAAGTTCGCCTCCAAAGCAACACAAGTGCATGCCTCAGAGCGAATGGCTCATCGCAGAAAGAGATCCGCATGGATGGCTCGGAAGTTCATTTGATGTTTACTTGCCATCATCGGCCATGCCAGCACTGCAAGCTAGTCTCCAAAGCAACACAAGTGCATGCCTCAGAGCGAATGGCTCATCGCAGAAAGAGATCCGCATGGATGGCTCGGCAGTTCATTTGATGTTTACTTGCCATCCTCGGCCATGCCAGCACTGCAAGCTAGCCTCCAAAGCAACAACAGCGCATGCCTCAGAGCGAATGGCTCATCGCCTAAGACGATCTTCAGGGCTGGTTTGTTATGTTTGACAATATTTTACACGTGTTTCAGGAGGCTTGTGTGTGTGTGTGCTTTGTTTAACCTGTTGATTAAATCAAATGAGGGAGGCAGTCTACATTACTGTGGCCCATTGGCCGGGCTGCGCGCCTCGTCTGCCCTGACACTAGTGCTATATGTGGACCTTTTCCATGACTAGTTTATCACTGTAAAGAGGGTCGACTGGCATCGCAAGAATCGCAACTTTTCACACCCGTCATTTCATCAACCCTGCCCTGCGACACATTGGCCGCTCCGCCTTTTCGCCTTCCAGATCCTCCAGGGCGAAGTCTTCCTGACAGGAAAATGGGTCTGGCGGAACTCGCCGTCCGAAATTTGGGCCTGGACCCACCATCTGAGAAACCAGCTTTAGGAAAGTCTACGGCAAACTACTTGTTTTGGTGGGTGTTGGCGGTGTTTTGGCAAACATCCTGTAGAAACTCGATTTCTATGACATCTACAATAGTAAACCAAACTTACCAAAAACACCTGTCTGGTTTTGCACCGATCATATTGAGAATCGTGCACTAGCAAATCCAGAATCTAAGTGACGCGCACCGACCCCTCTGGCAACGCCAAACCGAGCTCATGGATCAGGTTGCCAGCACGGCACCCTTCTTGCTGAAGGGCCAAGTGATCAATGCGTCAACATGAGTCACAAGCAAAACCTGGTACTAAACAGAGCAACCCCAAACAAATGCAACGAAGTCAAAGGGCGGCCATGCCTGGTTGGGACTGTCCCCTACCATCCTTAATCTATATACGCGTGTTTGATGTTGGCTCACATCTAGTCCCAAGGACCTGCGCAGCCCCGTGAAAGAAGAGCACCCCAGAGATCCACGTTTGTCTTTGGAAGTGAAAAAGCGAAATCCACAACTGCAGGCCTCAAGCAAGCGAGTGATCCGCCGAATACCTTCCCCAGGCACGAAGTGGGTCACTTTTGCGGGGGTGTTTTCTTGCTCGGCTTCCTCTCAAGCATTCCAAATCCAGCTTCGGAACTTTGCTGCTCGGAAGGATCCCTCGCTGAACCAACAAGGGAAAAGCTTGCTGAGAGGTTGCAAAATATGGAGGTTGTGCCTCCTTTCGAATGCTTCTGAAGTCTGGTGAGCCTTGCTAGTCGCTTTCCTCCCGGCCTCAACTCAACTGGACAAATGGGCCCTACCAGGGCATTCCTGACATGCCCCCTCAAAAAAGATGCGCCCCCCTGCCCCCCAAGGACATGCGGTCGGGCAGACTACCATCTCAGAACCTCCAGGCCTCGTCCGAAGGCTGTCCCGGCAAATTCTCGGTCTCGTGCCTGCATGTTCCCCCAGTTGGATTCCCGTTTCCCTCCGCAAACAAAAGCGGTGGCCCAATATGTCTAAGCCAAACATGTGACCCCTGAAAGGCCTGCAGTATCCCAAGAAGTGAACCCCTGATACAGCAAGCCTCACAAGCCTCGCCGACTACCCAAAGATAGACCCTACCCTACCTGATATGGTGGCTATAAACCAATGCTGCGAACCAGTTCCAAGGGTATGATCCTATCCATTTGTACAAATGTGGGCCAAGAAAGAGGCCTCCCTGGTTTCACGAAGCAACCAAAACAGCTGGCAATATGCACTGAGCCGCTGCTACGAATCTCTTGGGCTTCTGAGGGCAGTGTGGTGCGGAAAGACTGCAAAGGCACACTTGGAAGGACTTGCAAAAGCGGGGGGGAGCTCATCCTTGGTCAAAACTCTTTACGTGGGCCAAAGATTATGGTCCTCTTGGTGAGAATCCTTAACATGGTTGTCTAAAATTTGTGAGGGTTTCGGGGGGTGGATATCCGACCCTCCCCCCCCCTTCCCCCAGCGCATCCACCCTCCCGGCACTCATGGCGAGCCTCTCGAGGCACAGGCTTCCAGGCTGCTCCTGCCGTCTGATGCGTGCGCTGATTTGTAGAGATACATATCGCTGATGCCACAGCCCAGTGGAAGTGTCTCCAAAAATGCATTCCCGGTTGCCCGCCGGAGGCCAGAGGAAGAGAGCAGATAACAATGGCGAATGTGTGCCTCCTTGTCGAAGTCTTTCAGTCTAGTGTCAGTTGGAGCTTCGTGGACTCTGAAATCCGCTTGACGCGTTGTTAGCTGTTCCCTGGTTGCATTTGGAAGTGTGGGCCATTGTGACCCGGGATCCAAAAAAAGCACATGTTTTGTCCCGAGTGCTAAAAAGTCCCAAACCCTTCGGCTTCCCATCGCGCAACAGTCACAAACAGCAGACCGATGCCATCCGACTCGAATGGGGGAGCCGGTGCACGGCGTATTCCAATGGTTCCCCGTACCTGGCACGCCACAAAGTGGCCTTCCACTTGGCTTCCCTTTCAGCCAACCGGGAAAGTTGGTGCCAACTCCAAAATACCCTGCAGGATCCTGGCCTGTCAAAGTCTCACACCGGTGGGCTGCTTTGGTAATTACTTCGAATCGGGCATTTTAGGGGAACCACCCACCGACTTCGGTCCAAATAACGCGCTTCCGGGTCGAACTCCTCGATCTTACTGTCCAGGCGCTGCAGCCCGGTCTCCAGCTTTCCCCCGAGCCTGCGAGGCCCGAAGCTCCAGGGGGCCAACTGAACTCGTCAAAGCCACTGGTTTTACCACCTTGTGAAACCTTTCTTTTACCAACCCGGCTGTTGGCTTCCCTTCGCCCTTCAGTTGGCACACCAAACTCACGAAACTGAACCGGCGGTCATTTAGTGCATCCGCAGTTTCTAAGGTTCGGTCCATTCCAGCAACTCTGTCACAGGACATCAATACGGTTAGGGCCAATTCGGGATACAGCTCGAAGGGGCCGGTTCAATCAGGAGCAGTGCATCCCGAATCTTCCACATCGCCTTGTCCAGCGCACGTCTGCGTTTCCTGTCTTCAAAACACCAAGTACTGCCAATCAGGCAAGGAGGATCGGAAAAACTCATCACAGTCCGGGGGGGGGGGGTCGCGGGCAAGTGGCAACCTTCCTGGCAGAACCTAACTGAACCCAGTGGAACCCAATGTTCAGCCAAACTGACACTTGTGCATCCGTTCACCTTGGCGTCCTAACCAAACCCCAAAACATATGCCAACTCCAAGCAAAACCAAACCTGCACAAAGGACCAACTCCGAAGAAAAAAGAAACCAAACCGAGGGCTTGCGAATCTGAGCCATCGCCTCTGCAGGCTGCCTAGCTGGTCCCCAATGGAGCGCCCCAGCGTCTGCCAGGCTTCGCTCACGCTCTGCACCTCCTCGCGTTGCGAATGGGCGAGTCGAAGCGGCAAGCGCAGGGCTGAGCCTGGGGGGAGGGGGCATGGCCTTCATGGCTCACAGAGGGTCCTCGGTGAACATACATCCTCGCAAGCTGCTTGGACCCTTCGGGATGCAAGGTCACAGAGGTTCAAGAATCAAGCGCACCGGCTTGAATCAAACTTGTTTCAACTGCGATTGATCGATAATCAACTCCGTTCAGCATTTGCTCAGTGTGTTCAACCAATTGGATTTGGCCCGATCCCAACTCCCGAAAAGGATTTGGTATGACCAAAGCGAACCGCGAACCCTGAAATTCAAAACGAGGTGCAGATTTGAAACATATTTTTCCGTGTCGATGCTTCTCGAAATTAGGTACCCCTGCCAGTTTTTAGGGGTTCTCCACGAGGCAAACCCCACGAACGGGAAGGCCGTTTCCCTGCTCACCAATACCCTCGAGCCCAAGGGAGTTTCTCTGTCGGAGTGCTAGAGGAGGCCGACCCACACCAAGCGGTCAATGGCAACAAGTGTGGGATATTTCCCTCGTATCAAGTGGAAAGAAGGCTTCTATTGCTTCAGTTTTAATTTAATCACAAGGTCAAAGCTCTGCCCGTTCCTGTGACTTCGGGCCACACTCTCACATATCTCCGAGTCACAAAAGCACTCGCAAAGCACAACAATCCGACGAAACAAACCAAACAGAGAACAAAGAAACAAGCACAAAACAAAATGGTCGTATTAATATATATATATACATATATTAAAAACAAGCTCGGTCCTGGTGCCGCTGCGCCTCCCGCTCCACAGACTCCTGGAGCGTCTTCTCCAGCGCCGCCTCCACGCGCCGCGCGCTCTCCTCATCGAATCGGCCGGGATCCCCCAATCCCGCAATCAACCCGTGGGGAGCGAGTCGATGGCCCCAACGGTGTCTTTTTTTGAGGGTACCCTTTTCGGAGGGTGTTTTTTGGGGGGACAAAGGGAAATCCGCCAATCTGGAATCATACATCTGTTTTTTGGTTCTCAAGATGTCCAGCAACTTAACTTACAAAGGACCTTCCAATGGTAAGGGTTTTCTTCGGCTTGCTGGTTTTGGTTTAGACCATTGCCCCGATTCCAAGACTAGCCCCCCCGGCCGATACCATTGGCCCGCGGCCATGAGATTCGACCGGCCATGTTGCCTGAGCTTGTTGGAATGGAATGGAATGGAGTGGATATGGGGAAGTTGCCCCATTCAAATTTAGCTGGTGAATAGTTACCAGCTCATCCCTAAATTAGAAATATGTATTCCTTTGGCTTCCGATTGAAACAGCCCTAGACTTCGATTCCTTACCCCTCAGAATGGTTTCTTGCAACTCTAATTTGCTTCTATCTGGGGTTATGCATTGGTCGACATCATTTGCATCCAAATTTGTACCACCGCCCATGTTCGCTCGACTCGCCCAGGCTTTGATCCAATCGACCCGAAAGCCGAAAGCTCCTGGCCCTTCTTCTGCACGTTCTGCAGCTGCTCTCCCAAGGTCCGGGCAACCAGCTGCCAGGCCGCCGCGATGCCCTGCACTTCCTGAACCAAAAGGAGCTCTGTCAAAGGGGGGTTTCTCAAAATGTCAGGGCCCCTTTTGGTTGGGAATTCAAATCTTAAAATAGTGGCTCCCGGTTTGGTTGGTACTTTTCAAGCTTTGAATTCTTTTGTTGCCTGAAGCTGACAGAACTCCCTTTGAGGCTGATGTTGGATGTTGTTTGGAAAACCAAACAATTGTCGTTGCTTTTTCCAGACCCCCTCCCAAAAAAAAGAAAGAAAAAGACAAACTGTGGCTGGTTAAGAGGGAACACCAAGTGGACAAATGTCCCCAGTTCTGCGCATCCTCCCACCTCGAGAGGACGAGAGGAGAAAAAGTAAGGTGAGGGATCAGTCAAAATCTGAAGCCATCGGCCAGGGTTCTCAGCTTCCGTGTTTGGTGCAAGCAAACACAATCTGGGCACCCTCAGGTCAAAGCACTTTGTTGTAACCGGCACCTCGGGCGCTGTTAGCATGGGTGATGCTCAGAATTCGATTTTCCTCGCAGAGTGCCATTGGACGGCCTGGCGGTGCTCCGCATTCTTGTCCATGGCGCTCTGCGCCTGGAAACGCCGAAGCGGTGCTTCCGGTTTGGCTTGCAGTTCCCTCCTTCCAATGTGACGCGGACAGATTGCTCCAAAAGCAAAGACTTCCAAACCCTCGAATCATCAGTTCCCATGAATATTGAACGGTGGGTGACCTTGATAAATTGCCCCCCCCCCCCCCTCATTCCCATTATTTAAGATGAAACTCAGACATCCCAGCTTTTGGTTTTTGCCTTTTGGGGTGGGCATTCCCGCTCACACATTCCACCATTTGAATGGCTATGAGTTTCAATTGTACAACACAAGGACTTGGTTTCCACATAAACCATCCACCTGTTCATGCTCAACACTGCCATCTATCAAGGAATCAATGCATCCTTGCCACCCTTTCACTCTCTATCTGGGATGTCGGGTCAGGTCCTTTTGCAGACAGTCCTTGCACCCACTAACATGGACCCTCACCCAAAAGCTTCGCGTCTGCAATGCTCCTCGTTAAGGGCTCAAGCCTGTCGTGTTCTTGTCTGACCTCGAGCCCCTCCAAAGCATCCCGGGGAGCCAATGCAAACCAGGGGCTGTTGGAACGACTGGGTGGGTAGAAACTTTGGTAGCGGGCTCTTTAAAGTAGACCAAGCCACCTTTGAATTGCGCGAGTCGCAAGCCCCATGGTTTGTTTGGATCTAGGAACGGCTTGCTCAAGGCCTGCTTCGCCAAGATCTCCTCCAACTGCCGCGTTTGCCTGCGCAAAACGAAGTTTGCCTGGTGCACTGGCCCATGCTGCCCCTATGGCCCAAATGATGGGTGTTTCAGATGGAGTTGGGTCCAAAAACGCGGGGGCTTTGTCACCTGTTTTGTGTGAAGCAACGACTGGCACACCTCGAAGGGGAGCCCACGGCAGTTTTGCGGGGTGGCAAAATTAATGGCCGCGCGTTGCGCGTTGGACATCTGGAGGCAACTGTCAGTCAAACACGAGGCCGCCCCGCCCTCTAAGTTGCACGTGCCTCTCGAGCTCGACGCGCAGCGCCAACCTTAAATACGACGTTGAGCGCGTTTGTTTGGTCAGGGGAAGACACCAATTTCAGAGCTCCCCGCGACAAATTTAAGTCATTGGCTGCAAGGGATTGGGGCCGTGTGCCTGAACGGAACCCACCTCCCACCTCACTCTGCCCGACCACACACCCCACCAGCAACCAACATGAACCAACCAAACTACGCCCACGCACCTCCCACCTTCGTCCCTGCTTCGTCCGTCCAACTAACCCAACCCAGTCCAGCCGGGCCAAGTCTAGACCAACCCCGTCCCACCCTCTAGACTCAAACAAGCTTGTCAGCTGCTGGTGATGATCTTTCAGCCCGATCGCAACCGGAACTACGCACCCGGCGCTACAAAAAGAACAGCAGCAAAAAATAACACAACAACCGGAACGACCATGGCAGCCAGAGCGGCGGCCACTGCAACACCGACCACAATCATTTCCACCACCGCCACCACCACCACCACGACAACACCACCACCACCACAACAACCACCACCACTAAGACAAAACAGCGACAACGACAAAGACGACGGCGAAACCAACAACCAGCACCACCACCAGCACCACCACCACCACCACCACCACCACCACCACCACCACCACCACCACCACCACCACCACCACCACCACCACCACAGCAACAACAGCAACAGCAACAGCAACAGCAACAGCAACAGCAACAGCAACAGCAACAGCAACAGCAACAACAACAACAACAACAACAACAACAACAACAACAACAACAACAACAACAACAACAACAACAACAACAACAACAAGAGGAAGAAGAGAACAACCGCCAACCAGCCAACCAACAAAGCACACAAACCATCAAATAAGCAAACGAACAAAGCAGCAAATCAACTTAACAAACAAACAATCAAACAAACAAACGAGCCAGCCAGCGAGCCAGCCAGCGAGCCAGCCAACCAACCAACCAAACAAACAAGCAGCAAATCAACAAGTTCACAAACAAACAAACAAACAAACAAACAAACAAACAAACAAACAAACGGACAAACAAACAAACAAACAAACAAACAAACAAACAAACAAGCCAGCCAGCCAGCCAGACAGCCAACCTGGGAAAATCAGAGACTAATCTCTGCTAATCAACCAAGGCAGCAAATGCACCTTTGTCATCTTGAGCCATGCAATGGTAATCAGTATGAATTACATCCAAGTGGGAATGCATGGTGTACTTTCGCACGCCCCCTTGGATTAATGGAAAATGTGGAATTAATCCACACTCCACTAGCACAAATGCATTCCAAAGAATGCCAAGCTGCCTTGAAATCTTTTCTCTCTGCAAAATGTCTATGCAAAACGGGTGACCTAATCATCACCAAAAGAATTGCAATGCTGGGAAATGCACAAGGACAAGTGGTTGAATGTATTGTGGACTCGAATCACAGACAGAATGTGTTCCAAGAGTATCGCCTCCAGAATCACCAGAAAACGTCCTCTCAATGTATTGGTGTCATAGATGAATCCAAACCAAAAGTAAACTGTCATCTACAGTAATGTTGTAACTGTACCTCCACACAAATGCCGAAAACTGAATCACAAATGAAGTGGCAAATCGAACCAGGCAAAATCGCGATATCCAATGAACATAGAATCTCAATGCAAATCCAGTGTGGAATAAATGCATCCAAATCGGTGCCTGGCCAGAATCGAAATCCCAGCTCCACCAATGCTGAATCACAGCTTCGCTCTGTAATATGAATCTACCAGTGACTTGGGAATCTCCTGGTAGTCGCCCATGAATTTGTCCAATGAAGTCTTCCAGGTCTTGGGAATGAACATGTGGTAATCCCGGTACCAATGGGAATTGCTTTGCTGCAATGAATTGGCAGCGAGCATCAATTCCCCAATCTGGGCCTTGATATTGAATCCGGCCATGGAGCAAATCTCCTGCATCGCCAAGCTGTCTCTTGAATCCCAAATGTAATCCTTGAAGTGAATGATGGGGTCAATGTGAGACCTCACAAATACGTGAGTAAATGAATGCCTCATGAAATCAAGAAATCGCTGCGAATGTGGCCTGAATCCAATCACCACTGGTGTGTCCGCCAAATACTGAATCAATCTGTTCTTTGCATCACCCTCTGGTGCAAATGATCGCTCATAGCTGAATGAATACAGAAAGAATAGCAAAGACGAACGCGGGCTCAAATGGAATCCAGTAAACTGACTGTTCCAGAAACAATGTGAAGCAAGAATTGCAAATGTTCCCTTCATAGCCTCAGGAATGTTACTGGCACGGCCCTCAAAAATCCTCTTCAAATGGTTCCACATTGCTGAAGGCATGGTGAAATACAGCATGAATGGCAACATGCAAAAGTTCAAATGTTGCAAATTCCAATTGGGGTTGAATGGAATCAATCTCTCCACCCTTGGTGGGAATTGTAGCCACAAATGCCTCTCAAATGGAGTATAGGACATACTCCCAGCCGCAATGTTTGGAATGATCCTGATCAGAATCTGCGCACTCCAGGCATCGTCCGCGAATCGGTTCATGAAAATAAAATCCTGGAACCCAAATTGTTCCTGTTGCTGGCCGCTGAATAGAATCTGCCACAACATCGTGGCCGTAATGAATGCCTTGTATTCCGAAAAATTCGTGCGCTCCATCTTCAAATCTCTTGCGAGAATCCGGTGGAAATACTGTCGCGCCAAATTCCGGAATGCGGGCTGTCCATCGCATCGGTCGAAGTAAATGCACACCGAAATGTCAGTCAGAATGTTGAGCAAAACAAATGTTGCAGTCATGCATGAAATGGCTTCGAATTCACTCGTGGCAAAATGTCTTGACTACTGACTAAGTGAAACAGAATCATGTTGACTATCTACTACCTGAAGGGCAAATCCCTAATGTGATGTTATGCCTCTGCAAAATTGCCTTGGCAACATACTTGGTTAAAATGTCAGATGGGTTGAGGGTTCCCGGAATCTTCTTAATCACCAGGGTCCCAGAGGAAACCAGCTCCTGGACAAACAGAAATCGCAATTGGACATGTTTGGTTTTCCGGGATGCCCCAAATCTGACAGCCATGCTCTTGCCTGCAGTTGAATCGGTAAACAGAATGATGTTCACCTTGGGAGCCACAAGGGTTTCCAGAATCAAAGATTTAATGAATAGGGCCTCGGCCGCACCACTTCCAATAGCATAAAGTTCGGCTTCCCCACTTGACAAGGCAATGGTGGCCTGTGTTCTGCTGTGTGCTGAAATGTTGATGCCGAGAATGTTCAATGCTACTCCTGATGTGGACCTCCTGGAATCGGTGCAACCTGCCCAATCGCTGTCCACATAGACCTTTATGTCCAATGATTTCACCTGTCTTCCAATCCGGAAATCAGGTCTCATAACATGGACATAATCCTTGGTTCCACTCAGGTACCTCAACAATGTCTTCAACTTAATCTTGTGCACCTCAGTGGGAGCAACCAATCCTCGTGACAACTCCTTAACAGCATACATGATGTCAACACGCAATGCTGCAAGCCACAACAATTGTCCAACCAATCTCCTATACAATTTATGCTCTTGCGAATTCAACAATTCGTTGTCAAGCAACTTCCGCAATGAATCTCCTCCTGGCGTCTGAGCCGGCTTGCTCTTGGTCATGCCATAGGAATCCAGCATGCGGTCAATGTAATCAGGAGACATGAACAATTCCATGGAATCTGATGTTCGGCGAATCTGACGTCCCAAGAAGGAGACTGTCTTACCTTCACTCAATTCACCTGTCTGCCGAATCAGAAGCACCTTCTTCAAATCTTGCATCACCTCATCAATGTCACGTCGCTCACCTACAAACATCAAATCATCGACATAGACCAATGCCCACAATTTCTTGGTCTTGTGTCGGTACAAATTCGGATCTGACTTCAAACGCTCAAATCCCGCGTCAAGCATGGTCTTGGCTAAATGCTGTTGCCATGCCTTTGGCGAACCTTTCAGGCCATACAATGCCTTCTTCAATCGCCAAAGTACGCCCCCTTGAGGGTAGTACTCCTTTGGAGGAATGACAAAAATCTTCTGCCACAACGTCGCATGCAAGAATGCGGTGGACACGTCTGCAATCACAACATCCAAATTCATGGCAATGGACAACGCAATCAACAACTTCAATGTGGACAAGCTTGGGGTAGAAGCGAATGTGTCATCCTTATCTTCAATGTATTGGTCAAAGCCACGGGCTACCAATCTACACTTCACTTCTGCTCCTTTCCAAGACTTAACCCACTTCATTGAAATTGCTGAATCAACTTCTTCCTGCGTCAAATCCTCGGTTTTCTCTTCTACATACGAATCAAAGTCCTTCATGGAATTCATTTCCTTGTTCATTCCTGCCTCTTCCAAATCTCTGGGGAATTCAGACTCTCCCCACAGAATCGGATTGGCAAATTTCTTCATGTTCCCTAATTCTTCTTCATCCTGGTTTACATGAATGGGCAAGTCCAATGACTCACGCGTGGTGACTGTGGCAATCCTACAATCTTCAACCAATGTGCAACCAAACTCGCATGGCAGAATGGCAGAAATGTAGCTTACAGTAGAATCCGCTTCAGGAATCTCTGCCTGCTCACTGGTTCTCTTAATGCCTCTTGCCTCTGCCAATCTGCGCCTATTGGTTGGAGACTCCGAATGCTCTCCAGGTTCCCTGTCAATGTCCTCATGACCTCGCGTCAATCCTTGGGACAACTGGGCTGACGAATCCTCACCAGTTCCATCGTGATCTGGCTCCTCTGTTTGCTCGTCAGTTGGTGGAATCCCCAAAGGTGGCTGGGGTTCACCTTTCTGGAGCACAGCAGAATCACCCGGAAGGATGAACGAATCCGTTTCGACCTTGGATCCTTTTGGATCCCATGGCAATGCACGCAACCCTTGCATCAAATCTCGCTTGACTTGTGATCCCGGCTGAAGTCTCCGAATGCCTCGCACCTTGTACACAGCATTGGAATCCGCCACAAAATGCTGGTCGGATGTGGTGTCACGTCCAAGCCAAATGCCTGAATGCCACGATGGCTCAGACTTAGGCGCAGGCAATCGGAACTGCACAGACTCGGCAATTCGACACAATGCACCTCCATACTTCTTTCCCCATCGTCGTTCAAATGGAGTGAATCCATCAGACCGATGAAGAAACCTGTTTAGAAGCCACATGGAGTGCTTAACAATCCAAGGAAACAATGGCGAATGCACGCTAACCGACATGCCATACCTATGTTGAATGTCAAGCTTCAAAGCACGAATCTGAGCATACAATGTTGCTTGCATGTTGGAAATGGATCCCTGAGCTTGCTTCCAGCCAGTGGGAGCTTCACGGTATGACAATCCACCAATGTCACCCGTGACTGCCTCGACCAAGGCTTTTAATGAAGCTTCAGGGTCGCACTGAACAATCCCAAATGTCCTTCCAATCTCCAACACGAATTTCCTCAACTCTGCTTGCGCATACACAATGCGTCCTTTGGACGGAACAACGCACGCCAATCCCATTCCACTCAGTACATCAGTGGCCGTGAGCAATGTCACCTGTGTGTCACTTTGTGAATCACCCATAAAGGCGTAATCCACCTGAATCACAGGTTGCCGCACCGAAATGGCACGACTCTGGTTTTGCTTGCTCTTCGACCTGACGCAAATCTCACACCATGATCTGAATGGCAGATGAGTCAACTCATGTTCACGAATCTCATCGTCCGTCGGCTGTTTGGGAACGTACAATCCCTTTGGCCGTTGAGCCGACATTTCCGGAATGTCCGGGTTGCTCTCTTCCAAGAATTGCTGAGACTGCCGACGAAAAATCGTCGCGCCTTTGAATGGCTCAGGAAATTCCGTAGCAGCAGCCTCTGGGTCAGCCCAGTGGTCGTGAGTCCACTGGAGTCTCCCGTTGAGGAACACAGCCAATGTGTGCCTCTCGTTCCCCAGCAATTCCTTGGAGGGAGCGGCCGAATCGGTCTCATCTGGCACATACAGACAATTCCTCCACTCATGGTGTATCCTAATGTCAAACTTGGGTGTGAGGTACCATTCATCATGTCCGAATGGTCCTCCTGTCTCCGGGTCACTCATGCACAATCGCCGTTCCACAATTTCCTTTGCTTCTTCCAATTCTCCCGTCGTCAGCTCCTTCACTGACCGGGAATAATCATCCTGGCCAATGTCAGCAGACGGTTGCGCTTTCAAATGAGGTTTCTTTGCTGGCACTGACGCTTCCTGAATGGGAGGTCTTGCAATTGTGGATTGCTTCCCCGTCAATCGTCTTGCCGTCGGCAAGGATTGCAACGGGAATTCTGTCCTTCCCATCCAGTACTGATCCAACGCCCGTTGCGGAGAATCTATCGTCCGCCAATTGTCGGCGATGGTCTCCTCACGTCCATCTTCGAATCGGACGTAAGTTGTGCGTCTGGACGCCACATCTTCCACAGGAATGGGCCTGTCCTTGGTGCCACCTGGCGTGAATAACGCACGCCTTGCGCGCTTGTGATGTCGAATCAGCACAGCGCGTTGCGGATCAAGTTCCCAACTGTCGTTGTGGTAAATGGTGGGCTTAAATGTGGGTGCTATGGTCCCTGAAGAATCTGAACCAAACTTGGAATGAAACTCTTGACACACTTCTTCAAATCGGGGTTTGTCAAATGGAAGAATGTTCGGACCTAGGAAAAGCAGTGAGCCTTTTCGGTGAATACTCACTACCTTACCATTGGGCATAAACAATCCCAATGAGTCTGGTCCATCCAATGCTACGCGGAATCCCTGCAGCAGCAATCGTGCAACCGACACAATCGGATAAGGCACGTCACAAACATAAAAATTCATGAAGCAATCTTGTCCATCCAAGTTCAAGCCAACCAATCTTCTCCCATACATGTTCAATGGCTGTCCTGTGACACTCTTCAATGGTGGGCCATTTCCATTTAATGGAAGCAATGGCCATTGTTCACCAAAGTCTGGCGGACAGCAATGGGCAGATGCTCCTGAATCAAATAGAATCCACGGGGTGGAATCCTCGACTGCTGAAATCAACTGTTCATGCAAGAATGTGTCAACAAACTTCGAATTCAAGTGATCCAAGCCGCAGTCCTTCAAGGTGGTCACGAAATGAAAAGAATCCTTCACTGGGGTTGGTTCATCATACCAATCTAACAAGTCTTGTCCGGGAACAGGGGCAATCAATCCGGCACTCAAACATGGCATGCTATCCAATCCAGTGTCCAAGCAATACATCGACTTAAACAATCTTTCATGCTCTCCAAATGTCATCCAACTTTCACCTTCACCCTCAGACGGACTGCCACGAGTGGCAGGAATCTGAAAGGATGATCCTGAGGTGACCGAATTCATGACAAGTGCAGCAATCAAAAATGATGAGGCCTTTGGCTTGGCCTTTGGCCGAATGGGAGTTGAGCCAATGTTTGGACTCAATCCCGGCGGCACCTGTGTCACTGCTCCAATGGTTCCTTGCTGTGAATCTCCTGCTGGGGGTGGTCCTGCCGATGAAAACGCGGCAGAATCGCATCCAGCAGGAGGCTCTGGAATCTGACTGTCCTGAAACCAATCCCAAGGGTGGTCCCAAGAGTTCACAGAATCCCATGATCCCCAAGACGAATCCCAGGACCAATCTTCTCCTTCATCCCAACTCAATCCAGCAATGTCCCATGAGCCATCAGGCCACGACGAATCAGGCCAGGGCTCTTCGGACCATTCTTCATTCCAATCTTCCTCAATCACTCCGCTCACAGCTCTCTGCGGACATGTTCTGGAAATGTGGCCGCGAGAGCCGCAAATCCAGCAGGTTGCAATCGACCCTTTTCCTTTTCCTTTGGAATCCTTTCCTTTTCCTTTTGGGTCCTTTCCTTTGCCTTTGCCTTTGAAATCCTTTCCTTTTCCTTTTCCTTTGCTGAATGCTCCTTTGTTGTATGACCAATGTGGTCCTTTGGCTCCTTTGAATCCTTTGAATCCTTTGCCTTTGCCTTTTCCTTTGAATCCTTTCAGCGCCCCAATGTCCATGGGTGCTGGTCCTTGGTTGTCATTCCCCGGCATGTTCCTAAGAATGTGCCTGGAATGGTGGTACTGCACAATCACGTTTCGTGTTTGTTCATAGGTCAACAATGCCGAAGCATTGAGCCTCAAATGCTGTTGCAATGGGCCTGTTGTCTTGTTCAAGAGGGTAGCCACCAGAATGCTATCAGGAATGGCTTGGCCGGTTTGAGATTCATATCTGGCCTTAATGGTCTCCCAGGTGTTGAAATCTTGTTCAAATGTATTGGAGTGAAACTTGAATTCCAAAATCTGGCTAAGTAAACTCATGTGCCGTGTTGCGTCCGGCAATGCAAATTTGGAATACAATCTCCTCCAGGTTTCATAACCATTGCAGCCAATGTTCTGCCTGACTACCAGCCTTGCTGAATCACTGCACAAATTTGCTAACAAATAATGCAGCCTTCGGGAATTCTGAATCCTTCTGTCTGTGGCATCCTGGTTACCCGCTACATTCAAATGCGCGTCCTCAATGGGTGTGTCTGCGTTGGCCTCAATGCGGTCCATAATCGTTGTTGAATCTGGCAGGAACATGCTCAAATATGTCCTGAAATCCCAGCTCCAATCTTCCCAGTCCTCTGGCTTGCCAGTGAATTTCCCTGGCATGGGAAGTCTTAGCTTTCCTGCAAAATCCTCATCTTGTCCGAGTGCCATGGCAGCTCTCAGAATCAGGTTTCCCTAAGGTCTCCTGAATCTTCGAGCTCCGCTACCATGGGAAAATCAGAGACTAATCTCTGCTAATCAACCAAGGCAGCAAATGCACCTTTGTCATCTTGAGCCATGCAATGGTAATCAGTATGAATTACATCCAAGTGGGAATGCATGGTGTACTTTCGCACAACCAACCAACCAACCAACCAACCAACACACAAACAAACAAACAAACAACAAGAAAAACACACAAACAACAACAAACAACACCGCAACAACCACAACAACCAGCATCCACAACAACCTTCAGCAGCATCAACCGCAACAACAACGATTACAACAACGACAAGAACGACAACCAACAGCCGCTCCGCGCGGGAAGAGGACATTGCTACTGCTACTGCTGCTGCTACTAGACTACGACTAACTACTACTACTACTACTACTACTACTACTACTACTACTACTACTACTACTACTACTACTACTACTACTACTACTACTACTACTACTACTACTACTACTACTACTACTACTACTACTACTACTACTACTACTACTACTACTACTACTACTACTACTACTACTACTACTACTACTCCTGCTGCTGCTGCTGCTGCTGCTGCTGCTACTACTACTACTACTACTACTACTACTACTACTACTACTACTAGTACTGCTGCCGCTGCTACTACTACTGCCACTACTACTGTTACTGCTACTGCTACTACTACTACCACTACTACTACTACTACTACTACTACTACTACTACTACTACTTCTACTTCTACTACTATTACTATTAGTACTACTACTACTACTACTACTACTACTACTACTACTAGTACTAGTACTAGTACTACTACTACTACTACTACTACTACTACTCCTCCTCCTGCTACTACTACTACTACTACTACTACTACTATCACTACGACTACTACGGCTACGACTACTACTACGGCTACGACGACGACTACGACGACGACTGCTCCTGCTGCTGCACCAACACCACCTCCACCTAGCAACCAACCCACCCCCCCCCACCTACCCACCTCCCCCCCTTGCTTTTTTCCGGCTGCTGGAGCTGCATCACACCCTCGGACTGCAGGGAGCCAGCCAGGTCCTCGCCGAACCATGCGTCCAAAAATGGACCCGTGGACTTTGCACTCTTGGTGTCCTTTGAGCGCCAACCGTTGCCAACCGCTTGCTGCGTTGCTCTTCCCTCTCATACCATCCAAATGTGCATTGGGCTTGTCCAAATCTGGATGTTGAACGGAAACAGAGCTGCAATTTTAAGCTGTCCGGATCATTTTGGAAACACCCAACATAGGAAACGGCTACAGCCCCTTCCGAACAAGGCGACAAAAGGAAGGGCTTCTTTTCCTCACATGTTTGGTTGCTTCCCGATGGACAGCGTCCCCTGAGGCATTGTGGAAATCTGTGGATTATCTTGCTTCGATTTCTGTTTTTCGGTCTCGCTGTTGAAAACATCCGCCGTGCATGGATTTTACTGTGAGGGGCCCAGGGTGGGACGCCGCAAGCCAAACTTGGACTCCTTCGTCCCTACACACGGTGGGCCCCTGTTCGCTCCCTCAATGGGTTTTCTTTCCATGAGCACAGAGCCCCTAAAATCCCGATTAAGGGGTCCATCACGATCTCTCCCATCACCAAGGGTGTCTCGACTCTGGAACACATCTTGGCTGGAGGGGTTGCTTGTAGGTTGCCATCTTGTCGGAGCATCTGCGTGGCATATGCAATATATTTGTACACAAACACAGAGAGAGAGAGAGACAAGGCGCATACGTATATATGGTCTCATGTGCCCTGTTGAGGCTCCTCCCCCGCCCGCACCATGGTATCGTTCCCAGACCCCCCCCCCCCCAGCCCTTGAGCCCCCGAATCCTGCGCACAGCCTGCACGCGCCCATGCCAAGCCCACAACTGACCTAACACCTATCCTAACCCAGTGACCCTGGTAGAAAAGGATTAGAACCCTTTTGGCTGGTTGACCAGGTTTAGTGTGCAACCCAACAAAACGTTAAAAAAATGGCATACGTTTAGCTGTTCTTTGCATTTCGTTTCGTATTCCCAAAGGAGCAAACTCTTTGACCCAAACAGCACAGGGTGCCGACGAACTGGGCGCGGCTGTCCTTCCGGTCGCGTTCCCGGGAACTCGAATCCGTGAGCACGCTGCCCGCGCGGCGCAGGGCACTCCCACGATCCATGGCGCCCCGAGGAAATGAAAGGTTCACCTTGACCTTTTGAGCTCTTTTTCATATCTTGACTAGAAATGCCAAGGCCCAAGTGAGCAAGACCATAAAGGTCAAAAGGTCATCCTAAGTTAAGGGGAAACGTACCGCCCAGCCGCAGGCCCCCTAAGGGGTGGTGAGATGCTTCCCGTATCAAAAAGGACACACCCAGAAAAGAGTGGCCTGAAATAGAGCAAACCCTATATCCCAAGAGAAGGAACATCCAATGCCACCAAGACAGCTATACCTCGGCTGCTTGCGAGCTGGCCGTTCTTCGGCCACTGGAGCAGGTAGGACGAAAAATATCACCCGCGGCATCGAATGCACCCACGTTCCATGGAGTCCATGCTTCGATGGTTGGCAGGAAGACGAGAACCTCCGGTGGACTTCAAAGATCCACCAAAGGGACCACGCCGCGTTTCTCTCACGCCCGGAAATGGACGCATGTGAAGATTTCAAGGTGTCCCTCTCAGACTTATGGCAGGACGATGCGCAAGGAATGCGTCTCACACCAGAAACACATGGGCAACACAAAACGAGGAAAAGCACTCACAAGCTCTACGCTGGAAAATGGACGGTCGGCTGTCCTTTTTTGAGCGATATCGTTCAAAGAACATTCCTGGCACCTCAACATGTATTGGCAAACATCAAAGCCCCTTGAGAAAGAGTTCCTTCAGCAGAAAGTTGCGCAATCGTGCCTCCTAGTGGTGATCATCCATACTGGCCCTGATTTGATGATTGACGTTCTGACTGTCAACGACTCAAATTGACACCACGCCGGACTTTGTGACACAAAAGGCATACTGCCGCGGGTCTGGTAGCTTTGCCTGCACTGAATGAAAGCAGCTCCACCTTGGGGCTCTTGACTGTTCAAAGTATCGTATACACCAAGAAGCCATTGTGGTTCTATTGCTTGTCCATATGTTCAAACCTGAGCGTGTTTCAAAATGAAAGGCCTGCGCACTTCTGGAAGTGCCGCAGAGTATGGGGAAAACAAGTAGCATGCAGGAACTATTACAGCCTTGCCTGTGACTCATCAGCGGCCCTGCTAGGGAGATGTCATGTTTCAAGACGACGCTTGCGTTGGACCCAGAGGACACTGTATAAAACGGTTATTCGCGCACCCCCGATCACAACCGGTCTACGTGGCAATCATCGATTTGAAACCTAGACGCATGCTGCTTTCTAATGAAGGCGTTATGAGCTCGCGCGATCACAATGACCACCACCAAGACACAAAATGACGGACACTTCGAAGCACCGTTGAACCGAGTCCCCCCCCAAGAAATAAATATGGGTTGTGTTGCGTTTGGAAACCATCAAACCATTGAAAATCACACCCCCATGCCTGCCGGCCCTACCATAAACAAAGGAGAAAAGGGTACGCTGAGAAAATCACCCATACAGGCAGGCGCTGCAAAGTGCTCCCTGGTCACAACTGCCTATGTGGGTCATGGTCATGCTTCTGATGGCCATGGTCATGGTCATGCCTCAATTCCCACAAAGGGTCCATGCGAATTGGTAGTAACCCCAAGCATAAGGTGGTTTGACCATGGCATCAGTGACTTTGTCTGTCTAAACTCTGAAACCCATCCAAGGGCCGCGCAACCCACTCAAGCGGCGCTTCTGGATGCTGCTTCCTTGGCAACACGGCTCCAACTGGGGCACAACCCAACGCCTGGTCCCATGTCTTGTCTGCGATTCCTGAAGAGCGTGCTCTAAGTTTACAGCAAATTAGGCCAGGTAGAGGGGAACGTGTGACCGGGGGTCAATATTCTTTGTTCCCCAAGGGGCCCTGCCTTTTTGTAGGCAATTTGGGTTGTTCCCCCGAGTTCGCCCCAAACCAACAGGCTGGCTTGACGGTTTCTCCTAGATGCAAGAGCCAACGTCTGAAAAGAGCAGCTAGCTTAAAAGCAAGTAGGCACAAAACCCAGGAGGACACTACGTGCACTCTGAAACGGAGTGCAGAAAGTCTAGAATGTCTATGAATTAAAGCGCACGAAACTTTCGAAAGTAAGCATTAGAGACATCAACCTGCACCTTTGAGGCTGTTCACAACAGCAGGTTCCGTTGTTGGCATGCCTTCTGGAGCGGTGCCTTTTGAACAAGCGAGCATGTCGTCGCAAGAATCCACCGACCTGAATTGAGGGATCCTTCTTCCCTAACAGTTTCTTGGGTGGAAACAGTCCTTTACCGAGCTACTTCGTTCGCATGTATCACCAAAACCACCGGAGAGCTCGGGGCGCCGGCGGTCGACTTTGGTGCTGGTGCCTCGAAGCACAGGACCAACGGGTTGGGCTTTTAGGGAGAGTTCTAGCTGTGCTCGGGCCCTACAAGGGAGCCATATGCTTTGTTGACCGCTCAAAGGGCAGACTTTCCAACAATCTGCGTCGAAAAGACGCAAAGCTGCGCCAAGGATCAGCAACGGCAGCACGCACAGGCGGGGTGACTTTGCTCTCAGGGGGTTGAATGCAATACTCAGGTCTCTGTTCCAGGTTTCTGCTTCAGTCGGCATTGGGGCAGCTTAGAAGAAAACCTCTTGATTGTCCCCTCGCTCGGATGGCAGATCCTGCGAACTTTCAGCGCCAAGGCCCTCCGATCCCAAAGTGGCAACCCCTGAGAAGCCAACTCAAAGATCCCCTCCCACCCGGGACGTGAAGGGACCGCCAGTCAGTTTTTGTTCCATGTTCGAGGGTAGAAGGGGAGAGTTTCTTGTCCGCAAGCCATCCCCACCTAGGGTCCAGTCTGAGACACACCTGTGGCAGCTCCCGCCTCCCACGTCGCTCCCTTAAACATTGGCCAACACATCTGCGAGTCTCCCCAAAGTTTGCTCAGTGAAAGAAGCCCCTATCCTGCCAAGAACCCCTTTCACCCATAACCCCTGCTGTAACCCTCTAACCACTGGAATAAGTGAACCCACCCTCACTTCCATTTCAACAGCCCCCACCCTGAGCCCAATGCGCACCGCCCTCCCTGCCCCGCTTCCGCGCTGCGAGCGCACCTTCCTCGTTGGACAAGGCGACCAAGTTCTGGCGCTGGCACCGCAAGGCACCCTGACCTCGGAGCCAGTCAACCCGGGTGAGTTCAGGAACCCCTTGAAGGCGGGGAGCATTGCGTTGTTGTTTTCATCTTTACGTATTCATTTGTCTGAAATGAGCAACCACAACAGAACTGTCATCCTTCAGGGATCCTTTTCTCCTAGAGGTCGACATGAGCCGCCAGATTCTATGCAAAGGGCGACATGGGGTTGTTTCCATCTTGGGGGCTCAGTCTCAGTGAATCCAAAATACACAAACCGCACAGCCACCATCAAAGTGCAACTCACAGAATGTTGGCTTGCAAGAAATTTCAGCGCTCACCCCAAGAAGGTTCAAATGAGTCATATAGGGTCTGTTTTCAGAACGCCGCAGAACGCGGCAAGCACGACACATCGCTCTGCAAATGAATGAACAGAACAAGATAGAGTCTCCAGTCTGTAGGACGAAGCCCTCAGCTGATAGTCTCATCTTGATCATTGCCAGTTGGTTTTCACTGCACTCACGCTATGAAAGTGCACAAAGTGCCTGTTTGGGATACCGAAGAAGAAGGCGTCGCTTGTCGATGCTGATTTGTGTCTGCCTGTGGGAATGCCATCCGCTACAGCTTCATTGGAAAGACTCATAGACCACTCAAGGACAAACGTCTTTGACTGCAGCTCAAGACTGAGCTGTTTCGCGGTTGCATGAGACAGAGTGACAGAGCTCTACACAATCGAATTTGCCTTGGCCCGAACCAGTTGTTCATGACGCATATTCTCACATGGCCATGGCTTGAACAATCCTCGGATCCTCACAGCCCTCAATGACCCTTCCCCAATGACAACAGGAATTTCAAGCCACGTATCTTCACAGCATCCCTGCAGGTTACAGCTCCGCAGGGTTCCCTACAAATATATATATATATATGCTGTATCACATCCTGCTTAAACATAACCCCAACAAAATACGACTCACTTTAAATTGGCACTTTTTAATCACCACAGAATAAGTCCCTGCCCCAGCCCACAGCATCCGCATGTTTGGTGTGCGCCGGACAGCTCCAGTCTACTCCAGAGCGGGCGGTTTGCGTTCGCAAAACCGCTGCCGGCAACTCACTTCGGGGAGTCCTGGCTGGTGAGTCACGTGCCTCTGCACTCCCACCGGAAAATCGACGCCCTTAAAATGCAAAGAAAACCTTAGAAGTGCCTACACTTCTACGGACACCAACTCTACCTCAACCAACCACATTCAGCCCTTCCCAGCCCCCACCCCACCCAATCCAGCCAAACACCTCGCCAGACCCCCACCCCCCACCCACCCGGCTGCACCTGCATTTGATCTGTCTTCAATTCTCACGTCGCTCGGAGCAGGGTGCTTGCTGCTTCCCCATGGTGCGAAGCCAGATGAAAGGCTGTAGACGCAGTTTGTAAGTGACGTGCCCAGAGCACTCTTCTATTGGTGCAAATCTCGCTTTTGGAACCAGTCTTTCTGGTTTCCTTTCGTGTTTCTCCGACGATCGGAGCAAGGTTGAAACAGTGAGCGGCTGAATCGGAGACCAAAAGGAAACTGGACTAGGGTACGGCTTGAGTTGGGCAATGGTCAATAATGGGTCACTGGGTTGAAGAAAATCAACCTTGTCATAACAAAGTTGGGCCCGCGTCAACTTCCATTCCAAAAATATCCAGAATCCCCTTCTCCAGCAACCCCGATTTTTGGGGGAAACCCACTTAAATCAGCTCATTGATGTAAGGGGGGTGCGCAAGTCTTCCTTGATCAATCCAGGGTCAACGTTACCCTCATGGTCGTGCTAAATAATCCATTCCGTGATAGAGTGAGATTCCCACCCCATGACTGCTTTGTCACATTGAATCAAACAGAAAGTGGCAACCTAAAACCAACAATTCTCCGCCACCATTCCAAACGTCACTCATACCGGCAACAGTCACTTGTGGCTGCTAGTGCCTGTCACCAAACATGAGTCCATGTGGTGCTTCTGGAACCCTCCAGCAGGGTTTTTGCAAAACCCATGATTAAATATGTGCAAGCCACCTTTGATTGAACAACCTTGTTGTGGTTTCCCTTTAAAAGGGGCAAGGGTCTGGCAGCTTTTCACCAAATTTTGCCCATGCCCTCCAGTCTCTCCAGTCTCATACCCTGCCTCCACCGTCATCACATTCAGCGTGGCCCGCAGCGTGGGATGAGCCCAGCGGCAGCTGTCCCCGAAGTCGCAGCTGCCCCAGCGCAGCAAGTCCTGCCAGCGGCTGCCAGCCCACCGAGCAAACTCGGAAGCGATTTGGATTGGAGGGAGATCGGAGGTCAAGAAAGGAGGCCTTGACATCCCCGAAACCGCTAATCCAAACCCAAGCAGGGCTAATCTTGAGCAACGTAACGTGAGATTCTTGTCAATGTGTCCCCCGTGGAGTCTGTGCTGGAAATAGCCCTTAGCTGCCAATCCATCGCCGCAAACCCTTTCCTTTTGCCCCAGAAACGAGCTCGGTCAAAGCCGGTATCAAAATTCTGGCCCCACCCATCCTTTTTTCGCGGTTTCGTTTCCTGTTGGTCGCCCAAAAAAGACCAACCCCATCAACGCGAGAAACACCTCGGCAAAAGCAAACTCGGCGAGCCGAGGCGAGTTGGTCCCAGCAGGCGCCGTTCGGCTCCGCCAGGCAGAGAAGCGCTGAGAAACCCAGAGGCATCTTCATGAAGGGCTCATGGCCTCGAGGCGGACACCAAGCTCCGGAAATGGCTCCAGAGTGTTGGACCTCGTGGAACTCGGGAGACTTACGTTTCATCTTGGGGTTCATTCAAGCAACAAACGTTCTGGACTTGAAGTTCAAAGTAGTCCCAGGTGCCCTAAAAGTCCCCAGCTCGGATTTTGGAGCAATTGGAACCATGAATAACCGGTCGGCAAAGTGTCCAAAGGTTTGAATGCTGTGTCGAGACATGTCCAGACCCGTCAAAACGATGACCCTCAAACCCAGATTGTGGAAGCCTGCAACTCGGGTAGCGGCTCAGTGGGGTTCAAAGCCGTCTAAACAGTTGCTGCGTGCCGGTACCTCGCTGGTCTAGACCCGCTCACTCCCGGCAACGCAAGTCCGATTTCAGCACATTCACCAGGCTTGGGAAACAGGATGCAACGTCTTCTCGCAGAGGTCGGTCCTGTTGAGCTTGCAGGTTGCTTTCCGACCTACCAGTGCTGGCCTGAAGCCAACAATTTATGCCAAGACATTGCTTGACCACGCTGAAGCATCCACGTCTCCGTGTCACTTCTCGCCCTCCCTCTTGCCCAGACCCATGGAAGGCGCGTCCCGTATGGGCGAATCTCCAAACAGGGGGAACCGCTCTGCTCTTGGTTTCTCTTCGAAACGACCCAACAAAATGTACGCTCAGCAGAAATGACACACCCGGATTCCTGGCGTGGTTCTTTCAGTGCGTCACGTGAGCCTCATCCGCGCTCACCTTTTCATGAAAGAACTGTTCATGGATTCCACTGGAACAGGGTGAAAGCCTGAAGCAAAGAAGAAGAAACAACTGAAATGACGGAAATGTGCGTCATGTCCTGTCATCCAACCGTACATGAAACATACACCGACGTGAAACCAACGGACTTTATTTTTAGTCAGTCAGAAAGTTCGACTGTCAACAAGCACAGAAGCCGAGCAGCAATATCCAACCACGTAGGTCCCAGACGATCGTTGCGCAGCCTGGAAGACGCTAGATTCCAAACTCCCGGCGATTCCATGGAAGCTCCCACCCCTTCTCCTCAAATACCTGGTGGCTTCCAAGAATTAAACAAAACGTGTCTTGCCGAACCTGCTTCTAGCAAGGCTTCCACAAGGTGGTGGGCGGATGGGGGTCCGGTTGAAGGGAGCAGGTGTGGGCAGGCGAGGTCGAGAGAGCGGGCGGGTTAGGCAGGCGAGCGCACACGCAAACTTCATTAACTCAACCAAATTGGGCTGAACAGCACACCTGTCTTGACGAGTTGGACGTCTTCCTTCGCAGGTCTGACGTTCAGATCTTCAGCCGTGGCACCCTTGATTTCAAGATCAGGTCTCTGCTTTGTTCTCAGGCTCAGTCCCCATGCCTCCACCTCACCCAAGGCACGCTGTGTCAGGCAAGGCTCTCAGTGAGGCTCCTGCGACGTTGATTCTGGAGCCGGAACTGTGAAAGGCCCCACGCTATTCGTGGCCCTGGAACAGGGCGTAAACGCGGTCAGCCGTGCAAACAAGGTAGGCGGCCATCCAGTCTGCCCATCTGCCCGGGTTGAAGGCAGGCCAGCACTGCATTGCAAGCGGGCGAACAACCAGATCCCATTTGCGCAAAACCAGGCAAGGCAACAAGGAGCTGGGAAGAGACAGGCTGCGCGGCAATAACATGTGATGTCTGTGGCTGCCTAAGATGATCAGTGTTGCCATCTTTCACCTACCTGGATTGGGGAATCCAAGAGTAAGGGGCTTTCATCATTGGTGAGCTCGGTTCACCCCGTGAGCAACGATGATTGCACAGATCAACGGTGAAGCATGCAAGTGGACCAGCTAAAAAAGGTTGACTGCTTGCTTGGCCTCAATCATGTCTATAGAATCGGGCGGTGGAGCTGGGTGGGGCTGGCTGGGCTTGGGTGGGGCTAAGTGGGGGTGACACAGTCGGGGGTTGGGGTGGGTGGGTCAGTTGGATCTGGTGGTGAGCAGTGACTTCAACGGCTTGGTTGCACATGGTGGAACACGGGTTGATTTCTGTGAGGTCAAATGGGATTCCCATCCCCATGACTACAAAGTCACTTGCAAAATTTGGGGTCCTTGGCCGCTTGGAGAAAGTGGCCACTAAAGTGACATGCTCAAAATGAGCCTCTAAATAGTGGGGGTCATAGGGAAACTATCCCAAAAGTTATTGTAAGAACTGAGAACTCCTTACAATTACAGGCTTTTCGGGATCCACGGCCAGCCACCATTTCCCGAACCCCCAGGTTTGGGTCAACGAGTTCAATTCAACTCTCGCCTTGAGTACAGACTGCTTCGCCATGCCCAGCGCTACATCTTTCAGGTGCTTGAGGTGGCACGGAAGCTTCAGGACCACCTGAGTCACAATCAAAATCTGGGGGAGCGGACCCAAAAGTCTGGACAAAGGCCGGATTCTCCTAACGCATCGGGTTTGATGGTGGCTCGCCGCAACGACACAGGATGGGTGCAATGGGGTACCTTAAGTGCAAACCCTCGACCCCAATCTTTCTAGTGTGCTTTGCAGTTTTGCTCAAGCCGGTCTGCCCAAGTCTTGATGGTTTCAAAGGAAAACAACGGTATGCAACCACTGTATAGCCTCTGCATTCCGAGTTAGGCTCCATGTTCTCCTGACAGTGATTCGCGTGGAGACTTGCTCATACCATTCAAAACCCCATCTACAAATGCCGGGAATTCGCATGGGCTCGTGGGTTGTATACAGGGGTGTTGCTTGGTGGGTTACCTTTCGAGGAGTTTGCGGGTAACCTTTTTGGGGCAGCTTCCAAGGGAAGCCAATCAGAAACCGAGCCAGTTCGCCATGGCCTATGAAACATCTGAGGGCTTTGCGGAATATAATCAACGACAAGCGTTGGGATCCCTTGAAATGCACATCCTGCAACACATCTCGACCTCAGCTCCTCCCAATCACCCCTTCTGCCATAAAATGCATTATCCTTATGACTACTTTATTATCACGTTGCCCGGGAAAAAAAAAAGAAGAAAAGACGAAGGAAGAAGAAGAAGGGAAAAAAAAGAGGAAAAAAGGAAGCGCTTCCCGCGTGCTTGGGCCCTAGGCCTGGAAGCCGAACCGTGACTGGTGCAGCTCAGCCATGCCGTACCCAGAAAGCGCGCTGCAGGCGGCCAGTGCCACGAGGCGGAACCTGAGGACTTCCGCCATCTCCATAAATTCATTCCCCGTCTCTCTGGTGTGGTCATTGCCTTTGGCCGCGGAAAAAGAAGAAAAAAAACTAATCACCGCTGTGAAATCCAAATTCTGAGAACATGAGTCAAATCCATGTGATTCACGAGCCGCAGTTCCGTCACTGAAACCATCTAAGGGGAAGGGTTGCGCCCAACGCCCAAGAGCTGCGTTCCAAAACGCCACTAAAAATTATCCGTAGTTGTTAGTCATGATGAGTTCCCTGAAAGCTAATAGGATGTCTATGTGTATATATATATATACATATATATTGAGATACTTGTGTCACCTGTCCTTTGAGGGGCCGGCGGGACCAAGCCCGCAAATCTACACCAACGTCATATCCCAGACCTCCAGTAATGAGGAAAACACCGAACTATTCAAGGAAAATAGGCACCGCTGGATGTCTGCGATATTCATTCCATTCTCACGGGAATGTGGTGAACTCCGATGTTTGAATGGTTTGGTGAGTGTGCCCCACGTCATGCCTCTACTGTAGATGACGGTGAATATTAAGCAATGTGGGAGAGGAAAGCGGGAAGAGCGAAAAGGAAAGAGGGAAGAGGGAAGAGGGAAGAGGGAAGAGAGAAGAGGGAAGAGGGAAGAGGAAGAGGGAAGAGGGAAGAGGAAGAGAGAAGAGGGAAGAGGGAAGAGGGAAGAGGGAAGAGGGAAGAGGGAAGAGGGAAGAGGGAAGAGGAAAGAGGAAAGAGGGAAGAGGAAAGAGGAAAGAGGAAAGAGGGAAGAGGGAAGAGAGAAGAGAGAAGAGGGAAGAGGAAAGAGGGAAGAGGGAAGAGGGAAGAGGGCAGAGGGAAGAGGGAAGAGGGAAGAGGGAAGGAAAAAAAAAGGAAGATGGAAGAGGAAAGAGGCGGGGGGGGGAAGGAGGCGGAGGGGATAGATTTGCTGAGTGCCCGGCCCTTCGTATACATTGAATCGAGGCTGAATCAAGGGCATCGGCGCTGCGGCGTGCGCTGCGGCGTGCGCAGAGGCAGAGGGAGCCTCGGCGGAGTCGGGTAAAAGCTCCTGGCGCCGGAGAAGGGGCTGCACTTTGGAGGCGTCGACCTAAAACGGCACATCGACCTAAGACGCCACCGCCTTTTGTTACAACATGCCCCCAACGGTCAGCAGGGAAAGGCCGGGGGAAGCGCAACGCTGAGCTCGCCGGTCCTCCGAGGAGGTGGTGCACACAGAGCACACCTCGTCCGCTGTGCTGGCGCTGGCGCTGGCGTTTTCGTGGTCCTCACGAGTCCCGAGCGGGAGCCCCAGAGGTGTGTCTGGGTGGCATCCTTGGAATGACCCACGGATGGTCGTTTAAAGGGAGACTACTGGGAACCTCAAGTAATCTTAAGAACCCCTCGTCCGAAGGTGAACATCTTGCTTTCAGCCCATGGCTGACATTCAGAGACCATAAGCATTGGGAGCTTTATACAAACCGCATAGGGTGTCTCTTTTTTTTGAAAGCATCGGGGGCTTTGCAACAGCCCATGAGGTTGGGATCTGGGAAAACCCACTTCACGGTTTTTTGCCTCGGCATTTCCGAGCGCCGGATTGTGAAGATGTCCAGGATGCTTGCCCGGGCTCAGCACGTTGCTTCTAGATATCCCATGTCTGTGGGTTCGGGGATGAGTTCTCAAAGCATAGGTCAAGCCATGGGGTTCTCAAAAAATTGGGGCACGCGTGTTTGGTAATTCTCCCCAAAAGAACCGCCTCCGCTTGGAACCGCGGTTTCACCCCGACTCGGAAACCAACGCACTCCTTGCCATGCGCAGCTCGCACAGCGGGAGGGGCGGAGGCGGCCCGCGGCCTCGACGCAACCCGAAGCGAAGAAGCGACCTCTCTGCGTTTAGACATGTCCCTGGGCATCTTTCAAAGGGAGGCGCCTTTTGTGTGTAGAGAATTTGCCCCTAGAGAACCCCCGACAAGGAAGGGAGAAACACAACAAACCGCAGTGACCTGAAAAAACGGCCCCTCGCCACATGATCCTTGTTGTTTTGACCCTGGCCGTTCTCAGCCTGTCGCCCCCAAGTGGTGGAAAAATCAAAAGAAAAACGACTCGCACCCAAAGAAACATCTGACAGCCGAAAAGATAGACCGGTCAGGACCCTAAATGCCACAAAGTTCCTGGAACCCTTGCCAACAAGCCCGCGCGCCCGCGCGAGAGCCCCATCCCCGGCCTTCCGCAGAAAGCCTCCTCCTCCAGCTCAAGGAAGGTGTTTCGGACCTGTCCGCAAAAGTGCATGCAACCTTCTTCGACTCCCAAAAAAAACAGGCATGGATTGCAGATGGAGACTCCAAAAGCCGAAGGCTCCCCATGAATTGTGCTCCAGTAGATAAAGCATTGTCGTATGATAGCTGAATCAGTTCATACGGACCGTACAAGCTTTTGTTTGTTAATGTTATTTGTGGGCGCGAGGGAGGTTTCCTTGCACATCATGCCAACGGGCATTTTTTTGGATGGTTGGCGTGGGTGCCCAAATGGGCGTCCCCGCTGTTGCGCAGGTACTCGAAATGTTCAGGGAAAAGCGGGTTGCTACCCATCTCAGGTTCCCTCACTCGGAGGCAAGCCCACATGTGACGGACCAGTCAAACTTCTTGTGTGCGCCGCCATGGTCATAATGTCATAGCTTGCTTCGTAAAAAACAACTTACAATCTACATTGGTTATTTAACATCTCTACGAATGGGGCCCATGACCGTCCCTACCAACCCCAAGCAAAAGGGTGTGTTGACCATGGCACACGTGGAGCTTGAAAAAAGGCGCAGCTACGAACCTTCGTGGATCAAAATAGGGATTTGGAACCCAAGAGCCTGTTGTAGTTCTGTCAAGTAAGGCGAAAAGGGCACGATCGAAAAGCGCCCATAAACACAATTTGCGATGAGAGGCGAAGAACCTCTGATTCCCCAGTCACACTGTCGCTGATATATGACGCCTTCCCCTCATCCAGCCCTCGGGCCGTATTCGCTCAAAGCCCGGGTCAACATTGCACTAGGCGACACATAAGCCTCATGAAGAGGAACGTTCTGTGGAGGATCCCGTTTCAGGAGTTCCACGTTGGATTTGAAGGGTTTGGACAAAACCCAACGCAAACGCACATCTCTGCCCGGCCTTGAGCATTGCGGTCGGGTCCTCAGTGCGAAAGGCCCCTACCACTCCCCGCCAATTGAGATGAATGCATCACACTTTTGCGATCAACAGATCCGAGAAGAAGGGGCGAGCCGATTGAAGTCACTGGAAATTGAATCAAAACTCGGCAACCAAGTTGTCACAGGTGGATTTGCTTTGGGCGACTAAGACTAGAATGGTTCAACCCATGGCGAGAGTCATTTGCAAAGAGTCCCTGTTTTGGCTAACGAGCTAGCAATGAGTGCGGGTGGCGGGGGGGAAGCAGGGAAAAGGGGAATCTCTAAGAAAGCAAAAATCCTCATAAAGGGTAGCACACACACACACACCAAAAAAAAAAAACGGGGGAAAACAAAACACCCACGCGCACATTCTCCTTCCAAATCCCTATTATAATTGGTCCTTTCGCATGCACGGCTGCGCCATACCGCCCAGGCGAACCCGATGTATGCCAAGCCACTGTGCCGATGTCGTCCTCGGCGGAAGGGAGCTGTTTAGCTCGTCTTTGTCACTTTGCGACTCAGGATTGGTCAGAACTTCAGCACATTCAACCTTATCACCAATCACTGATCTACAAAGTCCAATGGCCTACAAGTCACCCACCCAAACCACAAACCCCAACACCCCAGACCAGCAACCCAAAGAAGTGAAGATCGTCAATTTGATCTGGCTCTCACCCAGCAATTGAGCCTGAACATGTCTTGGGTGCATCCTAGGTAAAGCACCTTGATCCAGCTGGGGCGCATCCGCTTGAATCTTGCAAGCAAGTTGCTTTCATTCGACCAAATCCAACGGGATTAATTTTGGCCCGATCGAGAATGCAGAGCAAACCACCCTCTTCAGATGTGTCAAAAATGGGAACCCTCTATGGAACACCGGTGGCATTTTGTGCCAGGGGGACAAAAAGGGCACCATTGGCAACCCTCCGCAAACCTTGTACAAATACAAACCAAACGCCCTGTGAAAAAGGCGCCAGCCATCGATTCTACGGGCTCAGTGTCCTGTGCTCGTCCGCTGGATTCCCAAAGCTATAGCAATAATCCAACCGCCAAACCCCAAACTTGGGGTAAATTGCCCTGACATCAGAGGCTTAAACCGCGCGGCCATCCGTCTCTGCGGCCAAGGGGCCAGCACAGCACGGGTAAGGTGATAGGGCGACCCGGGGGTGCCAAGCAACCAGGGCGTAAGTGCTGCGAGCCGAAAGGAACCGGCCAGGTCGCAACCCAAACCTCGAGTCTGGGTTAAGTGATCTAACATTGGACAAGCTCCTTTTAAACCAGTTCTTACTCCTGGGCTCCCAAGATGATGCATCATGGGCTCATGTGGTTTGGATTGCAGCGTTGGGGGTGCAAGAGATTCTGCTTCTGCTCAAGCACCTCTGGGTCAAGATGTCACGCAAGAATACGTGCCCGGTGCCTAACATGCTAGACGGTTGGATCCTAGGTTTACGGTGGAACACTGACCAAAGCTTCTGAAGATTGTCATGGAGAAGAGAGTTTACTCACGCGGGCTTGAATTTCATTGGGGACCCTTGGTGGACATCATTTGGGACTGTCCACCAACCACTATGTTCTCCGTTAGCATTCATTGCCACATTTCTTTGAACCAGATTCAGCAAACTCCACACTGTCTGATCTTGCGGGTCAACCAGAAGAGGGCGCTCAGCAACTGGGAAGCTCTTTCAAGGAGAATTCCCTGAACCCATGTCAGCAAAGGGGCATCGCATATCCCGGATTCATAAACCAGGGAGATGAAACTGGGGATCATGGGTCCTTTTGCCGGGCAACCAAAGCACGATACATGTTCAGTGAACCTCAAACAAGTTCAAAGGTGATCCCGGATGTTGTGCGAGTTCATGGTGCATTTGCCCGTCGCAGTACAACCTGCGCGAAGGGCCCGCTTTGCAACGTGTTGCAATCGAATGTTACGGGGGCGGGGATGTTGTTTTATTTATTTATTGTTTGGGGGGGGCTGGTGATTCATCTACCACTTCTGCCAAAAACCGCCCCCTAACTTCTCATCTACCGTTTGATTCTGGCTCAACTTGGCAACCAAAAAATGAAGCGATGAAGGCGAAAGCGACTTCTTGACTCCCACGAAAGGAGCCCCAAGTCGTTGCCTGAAGCCGGATCCTCTTCCACGAGGACGACACTGGCTGCGTGGCCTTCACGACTCAGTCTTAGGGACCTGCACCTGGACCAGGGCCCCCAGCTTTCGCAGCTTTCCAACCTTTTCCCTCCCCTTCGGACTCCGGGGGCCCTGCGTTGCAGCAGCCTGCACGGAACATGACACCCCACCCCCCCACCCCACCCCCGCCCAACCCAGTTATGAAAACGCCACCCCGGTCATGTCCGAAACGATTGGGAGCCCGTTGCGCACGTTGAGAAATCTGCAACATACCTCGTGGTACTTCAATGTCGGTCCCTCTACCCAACCTCCCACTGATGAATCCAAAGGGTTCCCTTCAACAAGGCCGCCCCAAATAAATCTCAGAAGTGTTCACTCATCAGTCAATGTTCCCATTGGCAGGTCCGTTCTTCTCCCCATCCTTTCCAGGGTCCTTCTCCCAAAAAATCGCCAAATTTTGGGCAAAAGCGCCTTGTGGCAATCCCCGCCGATGCTCAACCCCCTCGCGGATCAAAGTATGTCTTGCTGTGTTGTGAGAGGGAAGCTTAGTGTATCCCGTCCATATCCCTGTGACCATAAACTTCTCGGATTGACCAGACCTCACGGCTCTCAAAATACGTGAACCTGCAAAACGGACTGCACTTAGCGGCTTGATAGACTGCATCGCCCCCAGCCCCAAGTGCACAGACACTCGCCACCTCTGCACCACCAACCCCCAACCCAAGACCCCAATGCCCCAAGTCCCCAACCGAATTGCCCAAAGGACCCGCAAACAAAGGGTTACATCATCTTCGAATTGACACTACAACTAGGCCAAAACCAGGCAACCAAAATGTGGACCCCCAAAACCCGCCAATTCTTCCCTTTGCCTCAAACTTTCCATCCCCCCCCCTCCCGCCCCCAGAGCAACCCGCACCACCACCCACCCCGCCACCCCTCAGCCCACCCCTCCTCCGCAGCGCAAAGCCCAGCACACCGAGGCCGCCGAAGCTCTTTGAGCTCGCACACACCTCAGGCCCCGACGCGCCGCCCCGAGGCCAAGCCCCAGCTCGCCCCGCTCCAAAAAACGTGGCGAGCTGGATGCCTCTTCATTTTTGTTGGATCAATTAAAATAGCTTTGCTGTTTAGTAAGGGGGTTGTGTGAAATGTCTATGTCTGAAGACCCATTCACGTCTCCTTCCCCCTTTTTGGGTCGCATGTGAACTTGTGGGGATAACATGGAAGCTCCCAAGACATTTTGGAAGACTCAGTTCCACTGCCTTCCGAGAGATGGAATCGCCTGAGGGAGGGTGTCCCTTTCTGACACCTCTTGGGGCAAACGAGGAACCGGACGCCCGAGAGGATCTCTACATGTACATGTTGACCTCACAGCTCCAAGAAAACGTCTCAACAAAAGACATGTATGGTGAATTCAAACACTCATATACATGCTGTGGAAGGACATCCCTAAGACGCACAAAGTGGGATTTGTGCGTCAATCCCACTATTTACAGGGCTATGCCTTGTCACTGAGGGCTCCTTCCACGTGAAAATTCCTTTGAACCAAAGGCCCTGTCCCAAACCGCGAGCCTCGGCGCACAGCTCCTCCGCGTGCAGCTTCAGCGGGGGCTCCCGATCCAATCTGGCGATCGTTTCGTGAATTCACCGACAACGGGGGTGGGGATCGGGGGTGGGGTACCGGTTGGGGGGTTGGTTTGAAGGAAACCAAAAACAAAAGCACTCGCTTTGGGCTGGGGTCTCTGTTTTTGACACACGCTCATACCTACACCTTCACCTCTGAAACAAATCTGGGCATCCGCCAGAGATGCGACCACTTTGGAATCAGCGAAGACGGGGGCACTCAGGGGGCCAAAGGTGCTAGGAACTGGAAACATCATGAGCCAGCACAAGAGACCCAAAGGAGGACTTCAGAATACCCTTGGAACAAAATCCGCGATATTGAGCGCGGCTCTTGTCCAATTCTGTGCCAGGATTTGCCGGTGCCGGTGGTACTTAGGGTAAACAGATTCCAAGATCGCATAGCTCACAAAGGTATCACACCGCACTCCTCACTGCATCATGTTTCTGGGCTTTGGGCGTTGGCCATTTATTCAGCGTTCGTTGGCACCACAAGTAACATGGGAGCTCAAAGACTCAGCAACCGGCGTGTGCTTCTGTGGTAGCCACAGTTCCTCTTGTGCCCTCCCTAGCCGGGTTTCCCAGCCAACCTCCCGTGGGCTTAGGGGCACCACGAGAGGGGGCACCTGAATGGACCGTTCAGGCCACTGAGATTTGTGACACAAATGAGGGCTTGGATCTATGGCCAGTGCCAGAGTTCCGTATCGCGTTCCTCGGTTCCCATGTGGACTTAGGTGGATGGTGTGATCCTTTCCGGGGTTGACGATTCAGTTCCTGGGTTGTGTTGAAACAATTTGCTTTCAGTTTCCCTTTAAATTAACGAGGACCAGGGATTGCTTGTTGAATCAAGTTTCGGCCGGCCTTGGCGTGGATTTAAGGGTCCCCGCACGCGCCTCAAGGTATCCTCTAGAGCTGTGGTACGCCACTGAGAGAGCAGCCCCTGGCACCATGGAATCGAGGCAGGGAGGACGTCATGTGGGCATAGATGGGTAGACACCATGCTCCATGGTATTTACGTCCACGACCCATCTTGGTCAAAAAATGTGTCATCTGACAACTGCTAACTCAAGGCCTGGACCAACGTGCCATGGGTTGAAATCTAAGCATACCACTCGCATTTGGATCTTCAGTATCCTCCCAATAAGCATGAAGCAAAAGTCCTTTGCAGGTTGTTGGAATACTACCAGTCTTGCATGCCTCTTCCCCAGAAGAAAAAAAAAAGAAGAAAAAAAAGAGAAAAAAAACATTGACCACGTTGACTCTCTTCTGAACCGCACGATGTTGGACACATGCGTACATGTTTCATACATTTGTACATACGTATGTACAACTGCCCAAAAAACTCAAATCGTCTTCGGCCTGTCGACAAATCCGTTGCTTCAATGGCCCCTTGGCAGCTCCCTCGGCTCATACCCGTCCTCGATCTCCTCATCTGGGGCCAGGGCTAGGTCCTGCAACGGGGCAGGGTCGGGATTGGCCGTGGAGACAAAAAGATCAGCCACAAGGCGAACCAACGATTTGAACATGTCATGTTTAACTGGCCAAACCCAGTGTTGAAACCACCTCCTCTGGGTTCCCTTTGAAATGGACCAAAGGCTGGTTGGTTAAAACTGCTCCCAACCCTGGTCCGCTTGGAGGACGCTTCTTGTCCTTCTTTTTCGGGCTTGTGACTTCTGTTGAAGGAACACAAGCTGCCAACGCAAAAACCACACGAGCCCGCGAGCCTGCCGCTAGCATGCGGCAACGTTTAGCCAAGGCCGCTGAACCCGACAAGGTGGCTGCAAGAGGTTCTACCTTGGAACTGCCAATGATTTGCCGAGATGGTCGGCAAAATGATCTGAGATGGTGTGCAGTCTCAACCCTTGCAGAACCAAGAGCCCTTGCGTATTGCACGTCTTGAAGACGAGCTCCCTTTGTTCCATGGGGTGAGTGCTCCCAGGTACTCAGAAGCGGTCCTCCAGTTCAGGCTGCCGGCCCGATGCCTCCCATTCCTCCTGCCGAGTTTTGGGGGCGAGGCGGGATTCATCTCTGAGATTGATGGCGTACGAAAGACAACGGAAAGGATAACAGCTGTCCCAGACGTAGGAACTGGTTGGCGCTGTCGGCGCAGGGCCGGTGTCGAGGGTATCCTTAAGACGGCTGGATGGTTCTAGCTTGGCTTTGGGTTGATGACTAGCGTGCCGGGCTCCGTTGATTGACTCAAGGGTATCCTCTGAGGGGGGGGTTCGCCCATGCGTAGGGGGCATGGTCTTGATTTTGCTCAGGGTTTGGGGTTGGTTCGGGTTGGCTTAGGGGTGGGGGTAGAGTGGATTCCAAACACAAAAGCAGGCATGCAGAAAAGTCAGGAGCCCCGGAGCCAGCCCAAAAGCCCAAAAGCCCAAAAGCCCAGGAAGCCGGTTCCAAGGGTATCAATCCCCTCGCCAAAATCCGCAAATCCCTCGGCACGCACCTGGCAGATCCCTCGGCTTCACCCCGTACCCCTCGGCACTTCCAAAGTCGCGGCGCCTGCAGCGAGGCGAAGGTGTCCCTGTAGGCGCGGAGCAGCAGCGCGAGCCGCGCCTGGCTTGCGGGCCTTTGGGTCAGTAGTTGCCAAAAAAAGCAGTTTCAAAAGCGGAATCCCCCACCCCACCCTGCCCCCCACAAAAAGAAAGACATCGTTGTCAACCATGGAGGAGGGTCCTGTTTTCCTTTCAACTTAATGGGCTGCGTCAACCCAAGGGTGGCCAAACTGGTTTCTACACTTGTTTTTGTCAAGGGGGCACATCGCCCAAACCTGCTCTCCATGGTTCGTTTGTGGGTGTCTCGTTTGAGGCCCCCAGCGTTCCAAGAAACATGGAAATGGACAGGGGGCCCTTTTTTCCCCAAGCGCACCGCGTAGCATACTATAACGTTCCTTTGCAGTACTGAAACCCTTTACTTTGTCTAACACCTCTATTGAGACTCTGATAACCATCCCAACCAACATGTAATCGACCATGGGGTGATCCGAGCCGTTCTCAAGGGATCCATGCAATGACACCGTGGGGTGTCAATCAACGCAGTCCCGGCAAAACCACCAGGGCACAGCTTACCGTTTCAACTGGGTTCAAACCAGTATGCAACCATGGGACAATAAGTTGCATTCTAGGGGTCCCCAGTTTTGACGCGTTCATGCATGCCACTCACTCCATCAACGTGTTACCCCTTCCCTTCGCCCCCATGTCCACCCAATCTTTTGACATTTAGCCCTGAGGGACACAAGCAATCACTGGAACTGAGGCACCCCTGCAGGCTTTGAGGAAACAAGCAAGCTCAAGGGGAAATCAGCGAGGGCTTCTTTCAGTGCTTCGAATCCGGGCGCATGGGCCTCCTGGTCTCTGGCTGCAGGTACGGAGGTGAGCAACTCCTGGCGAAGAGCACTCGACAAGATCAAGGGAGCGATGTGAAGCGTCGCGACACTAGGCTTGATCTAGAGCTTGCATGACCGGCAGATCGCCAAAATGGGGGACCCCTCAACATCCTCAGCATCCGCGTCGCCTGTAACTTGTTCACCCCTCAACATCCTCCTGTAGCAGCTCGTGCAACATCCCCAGCGTTGCCTGTGGCCTGCAACTGGTATTTCGAAAGTCGGACCACAAACTACTGAAATGTTGACATGTGAGAACTACTGTTGTGTGTTGCCCGACCCACAACCCATAATAATATGATTAGTGCTGGTTCATATTTTAGAACCTTAAAAGGTAAAATAATGTCAAAAGCGAGCCCAAAGAAGCCATCAAGTCCCCACAGGTGGAAATGGAAAGGCTTCTTTCTGATGCCAAAGTGCTTGATTCCCATCCATGACTGATTTATCACTAAGCGGATTCCCTTTACAGAAAGCGGCAACCTGAATCCCAAGTTTCCATGGCACAAAGTGCAAGCAAACCAACATGCGACTCTAACAAAGGCACATGACTGTTCCGGAACCAGCATTTCAAGCAAGCTACCCGACAAACGGTGAACCACGGGAAGTTGTCTATTGAGGGAATCGACCTGCGACATGTTTAGCTTTCCGATGCTGAGAAGAAGAAAGGCGGAAAGTCCCACCTGCTTTGCTTGCTAGCCTGCTTGCCAGCCTAAATTGTGGAAGCAAATCCCCGTAAGAATGGGGCACTCTTCCCCCAGCATACTCTCATACATCCTTAAGATCACCCCACCAAAAGGAAGCACACTGACAAATGACCTGAAACACGGTGATGATGCAGCTAGCCAACCAGGAAACATAAGCGTTTGTGTCAAGCTAACCGCCCCCGCCCCCAAAGAAAAAGAAATGTAGCTTTTGTTTGGCCAAGCCCAAGACACAAAGGAGTGGTAGTTTTTATTCCCTGTAAGTTTGCATTCACGTATCAAACCCTTTCCGCGCTGTGAAGGGTACCTTCCGCGAGCATGTTCTGCATAAGTTTGTATAAGTGCTTCCGCGGGCCTTCCGCAGGCAAGTTGCTTCTGGAAACTGAGGAAGGTAGCGTCCGCGAGGGAATTCGTGCGTACGGTTTGCTGGTAAACGTGCTTGGCAACAACCACCCAACCGAAATCAAACTAATATGTGCAAGTCAAAAGGGTCCCTTCCGCGAGCTGCCGCAGGAAAAAAGCCTTCCACAAACCTTCCGCAAACCTTCCGCGACTGCAGTGCGGCGCCACATTTTTTGTTGATATGTCAACATCTATACATGTTTGCTTGAGCGGAAAAATAAACCGCCACTCTTAAAAGTTGACTCACCCGGTGGGGTCCCGTTCCCGGCGCTTTCCCCCCATCTCCTTGAACTGCTCCGGGGTGGGTGGCCCTGCGCTCTTGGCCTCACGGCCGGGAGGTCTGGGTGGGACCTTGGTTGGGTGCGTTTTTTTTGGGGAACCCCCCCCCCCCTTGGTTTGTTTTATCGGTAAACCAAAAACCAATCAAGTTGGGAGTCCCTCATTTAGAGGCAAACCCAACTCAAGATGAAACTACCGGTTGGCCGAAAAACGCACAGGCCGCCGTGTCGGGATTCATAGCTTTTCCCTTGTTGGATGATGTTCAAGGGAAACATTGGACCCCACCCCTGAAGAATACAGCTCGTCTCAAGCTTCATAGTATTTTTGTTCCAGCAACAATGGTTCTCCTTGAAAACCATTGCCACTCGGGTTTTCCCAGCAAGCCAATCGATCCAAGAAGGCTCCCGCGCCTCAGCCATGAGGCTCCATGATCGGTAAGCCAAACAGCGGGCGAGCGGCGAATGCCACCACTGTCTCCACTTCAAAGAAAACCCGTTGACGTGTGGGCTTCCAACCTGGCTACAGAGGTTTATACAGGCCCCACTACAACCTCCGTGAACCAAGTAGTGACAAGCAACTAAATGGCCCCACTTTGATGGTGTTCTCAACTCGAAGCCTTACAATTGAATGGCAGGTGCCCAGTATGGGCTCGGAAACCCCAGTAAAGGGGTGCCAAAGACTTTGATCGAGACCCTTTGCTGGACCTTGTGAGGCTTCCTGATGATCAAATGCCGGGGTCCTGAAACGTTGCATTTTGCCAATGCAGATGCGGCAAAGCGAAATGCGACGGAAATTCGGAGGTCCCGAGTCTTGACAAACTTCGTCGTTCACTTTGCCAGGGGAGACGTCGCAGGACAACTGGAGATGCTTCAATCGCAGCTATGGCTAAATCATTTGAGCGACTCTCCCTACAAACAGCAAGGTTAAATTGAGTAAACCTCCTCATGGAAATTGCGTTTGTCCCATGGTATTTGCCGAAAAGGAAGTTCATGTGAAGGAGTGCTGGGTAGGGATTGCGTCATTCTTATGCAGCTGCTGCCCCAGGGAATGTGCGGCTCGTGCTGCCCCTGCTTGCTGTTGGTTGTTTTGTGTTCGTGCCCCGCGTGTCAAACTCGGGAATCCCTTTTGGATGGCCCGAAGGCAAAACGATATTCGTATCATACCTCTGCAACAGAAGCAAGAGATTGTCAGAAGAAGAGGCCATAGGGTCAGGTTGTCCACCTGGCCATGCTATCAACGGGTCACTCTGGGGAACGATTTCCGTTGACAACTTGTGCAAGCCCAAGATGTGTAAACATGTCCACCCATCTACTCCAGCAAGCAACTGCCACAAAAAGAGGTTATGTATGTATTCCGGATAAGTAAGCCTTGTAGATTACACACTGTTGTGTTTACCCCGAAAGTGAAGGAAGCGAGGTTTCGAGAAGGTTGTTTACCCCTCTAAACTGGGGCAGCCTCCATTGATCAATCAGGGATAAACAAGACATTCACTGGTAACATCCAGCGATCCGAAAATGTACGCTCTCTCGGACCCAGTTTCCGCAGGGCATTCTTCGCTCGCAGACCCCGAGCATTTTTCACTTCCAAACGCAAACGAATCAAACGAAAGCCAACACACCCAGCCCAGACAAACGCCCCCACCCGCCCTCTCCTTTTCACCGCGCGCGGCGCGGTGCTGTGCCGCAGCGTGCGCTCGTTCGCAAGCGACTTCCCCCCTGTTCGGGGATGGGCGGAGGCTGGGCCCGGCAACAACCCCTGACAAGACAATTAGCTTACATGGGCCAAGTGGGCTTGAATACTTTAAAACCAAACTAAGTCATGAGTCATGATCGTACTTCGCCCCACGTGCTACACCTTGGAGTTGCCGGGCGCAGCCAGCGCCAAGCCTCATTAACACAGCGGACAGCGCCCGAAGCTGAAGCTGATGCCTTCCCTATCAGGCTGCTGTCACACCTCACATCCCTCGCACGGAAGAGGCACCAGGGCGGCAAGGGTTCAGCCAAGGGCTCCGCGTTTTCTTGAGCTATTCAAATCCCTGATAATGTGTTGCTGGGGGGGGGGGAGGGGGGCGGGGCCTTTTGAAACACAAAGCATCCTCTTAAAGATTTGGAACAGCGGACTTCTCCAAACCAAGCATCCCCCGAAGAATGCTCGAGAACAGAACAAATACGCCAGACACTTCCCCTCAAACAAACAAAAAACATCGAACACTTCAGCCGCCTCAGTCGTGCTCCTCCAGTCGCCGGTGCCAGTCCTCGTCCTGCTCCAAAGCCGCCCGGTCGTCCTGTCGATCGCAGGCTTCCTGTTTCGGGCCGCTTCGAAAGGGTCTGTGGAGACTTGTGGTTTGGGCTTCTCCTGTTTTTCCGGAAAGCGGTTGCCCAAGAAGAGTCCCCCTGCCGCTTTTTGCTCTGAGTTCAGAAACCAATCCGCAACGGCACAAGCATGATTTGTTGGCATGCATTGGCAAGTATTGCAGTCAGAAACCAGGATAAGCCAGCCTCTTTGTTCCGAAAACAATGGTTGCCTTGGTTGCGGAAAGGAGGAGGAGGAGGAGGAGGAGGAGGAGGAGGAGGAGCAGGAGCAGGAACAAGAACAAGAACAAAAACATCTTTCATGCCCAAATTGCCTGCTACACATGAGGCCCTGGATCCAGAGAAAAGAGCATGCGAAATGGCCATCCGAAAATCTCCAAGTATGCAGCAGCACACGCCATGAATGCATACGGATCAGAAACCTCGATCTCCTTGCCGCTGACACGTTCCCCTTTCGGAACCACACCCGGCACCCAGCTGGGTCTTTGAACAGAAAACCGGGCCTTTCTGTGCTAGTTGAGCAGGCACAAAGTCATTCTCCAAAGAGTGGAAAAGGGCGAAAGGTCAACTAAGGATCACCCTGATCTTTAAAAACAAGTGCACGCCTCGGCGAGCATCCCGGGCAGTCTGCTCTGCTCCTCCTTCTTCTGCATGAGCCTTGAAATGTTCAGCAAGCACAACTCCGGGTGATGCTTTTTCGGAATCCTTTTGGTGAAACGACAAGTTTGGCATAACAAAATCGTCAAAGCCCACGGGGTTGCCTCCGCCAGTTCTGCCGTGTGATTGCAATCCAAGATGCTCTGCCATGTACTCGCTGAAGTCCGGAGAGACCTGACAAAATGCGGACAGGACAGGCAGGCAGGCCCTGCCCTGCCCCACAACGTAGTGGAGGATGGACAATGGTGCAAACCAACAAAAATGGATACTGGGGCAGGGTCCGATCAAATACGACCATGATCGTGATTCGGATCACAGGGGCTTGATCTGACATCGCCTGCAAAATGATATGGAAATCCAAAGTGTCGGATCCCAAAAGGAGATTGCTCTATATATATATAATTCATTAGTTTAATTGTGTTTTCATGTTGTGTTATTTATGCTATATGTTCCCTTGCTTTTTATTTTTAATTGCTTTTTAGTTTGGTGGGGGGGGGGGAAGTTCATTCTGTTCATATTCATGAGAGTATTCATCCAGTGGGCCGAACATCCATGCAAAATCTTCGCCAAATGGCCTTGAAACCTTGACCTGCTCTGACGGTCTTTCTGAAATGGGGCCGCGCAAAAAACGACAGCTTCCCTCTGGCATGCTTAAACACCAGCACAAGGGTTCTTTTTTAACTTTGGGACCCAGCTCGTGTTTGTTTCTTTAACACTGCGAATGCATTGTCCCTCTGGGTCCTTGATTTCGGGACTGCCGGGTCCAGCTTCAGGAACCTCAACCACATGTGGAACCAACCAATTGAGCAGAAAAAGAGCTTGTTCTCGGTGTTTTGCTTCACCGGTTTTACGTCAGGAAGCAGCTAAAGAAAAAAACAGCCCACGTGGCATCCCAACAGCAACTTCGGAACCCTTGACCCCAGCTCCGGACCACTCCGGAGCCTATCTGCGCAGAGACCCCATAGCCTTTCAGCAGTTCGCAAAAAAAGGTCTCGTTTCCCGCAATGCCTTTCCATCTGGTCTGGAAATACTAATGTTCACCAACCGGAATTTGAGAATCTCCAAGAACGAATCTTCATAGGTGCTTGCCCAAACTGGAGAAGCGCATGGAGCTGCCAAAACGAGCTCCAAAAGCCTCCCGCGTGCCTCATACTTCCTCGCAAAGTACTTCTTGCTCAGCGCAAACACCTCACGGCTCACGCCGAATCTGCTCCATCTGGTCCCAGCAATATTCGGTCCATCTGCCATGGGAAACCTGAAACACCCAAAAAAGACCTACTTTTGGAGACCGAAAGGCATCTTGCTGGTTCTCCGGGAATCAATTTCGGGGTTTTGGAATGATTCCGGGGATTTCAATTGAAAGAAATGGTTTATGACTCCCTGATTCCCTGATTCCCTGAGAGCCAGCAAGTCTGAGATCCAAATTTCAAGAACTGACTGGCTCACTGAAGGGCAGCAAACGTCCGACTTTGGGAAGGGGGGGGAGACACCCCAACTGCAACAAGTGTCGATACTTATACCGAAAGAAACTCTTGACATGTCTGCGGAACCCAGTTTCAGCATCTCCCGACTTTGGCAAGGCATCCAGCACCGCCCCACCGCTTATCACACCCCAACAACAAATGACAATAAAGAGCTGATCTGCACCAACCTATGCTGAGTGATTGGGTTCGCCAAAATTTTATTGTTTGCCGAGAAAAGTGTGGTCAACACAAGTTTGGCCAAAACGCTGAGCAAATCACACAATAGTTGAATCTCCCTCCACGCTAAGGTGGCGCACACGTTTTGCGGCAGTTTTCCACCGGCTTGAGACACGCCCCTATTTTCCCTTGCGTCAACACCCTGCCAAAAGGGGCGCCAATTCAATTTAGACACCCATTGGAGGTCCTACATGGTACCCCCTGTTCAACACCATCCATCAAAAGGAAGCACACTTGCAACTGGCCAACAAGGTTGTGTTTAAGCTGGCCTAAAGAGGAAATATAAGCTGCCCAGTTTATGTCGAGCTCACCAATCGTGGTTAAAACGAGCTCAACATGATGTAGGTTTGGCAAAAAGACTCTTTTTCAAGCTTTGGTATCATAGTGAAACTTGCAGAAATGGTTGGGCATGGTTGTCGAATCCCCTCCTGATGTCTAAGAATGAACTTGGGATCTGGAAACTGACAAAAGCCTTGAGACCGTACTTCGAGACCCCCATCCGGAAGCCCGTGGACCCAAAAATCCGTCCTGTCCGATCGGATCGGACGGCGCCTGCAGCATGAGCAGGTCGGCGATCAAGGGCGCCACGGTGAGCAGAGTGCCGGCGGTGGACGCCTGTCGAAAAGATCTTCAAGCTTGGCAAAAACTTCCAAACGAGGCTGCAGCTATGCTTGAAGTGTGCGGGGTGCTCAGTGCTGGGGCTTAAGGTACCCTAGTGGCGTCCAAACTAGGGACCCCGAAAAAGAGGGGGGATGTCAAAGAAGCTTTTGAACTGCCGTCTGAAGAACTCGCTTCACATGCCCAAGTGAATCCAACAGTCGAAGGAACAAGAACTGCAAGAGTTCTCATGGTTTCTAGATTCGGGAGTTGGCCCGGAATTAAGAAACAAGCCTTCAATCAACTTCAATCAGCAAAATTCAGGGTCTGCTCCTACCTCATTCGTTTGAACCCCAAGGCAGTCATTGAGAGACCTGGGCTGCTCACCAGCTTGATAAGTGCAATCAAATCGACACGGGGCGCATGGGTGCATCGCAATACTTCACTATCCGATGAGAAATGAGGCATGCTCCTCCCTTTGCCGGAGTGAGATCGGTGGGGCTGTCTCTAAGTAGGGGAACCCCCCAACATTGGCGGATTCTGTTTGGTTCCGAGCAAAGCAACCCAAAAATGCTACCCTCCGCCAAAAAAGGAAGCCGTACATGTCGAGGTCGGATTCGGTTACCTGTCTCCACTTGCTGTTTTCCAGTGACATGGCGTTCTCTTAAGTTCAAAAGGATCCCCAAATAGTCGGAATGGAAAAGAAAAAGATTGTTCATGCGACAAGAACACTTACAATTATTTAGCCCCTTGCACACTCTGAGCCCTTTGGGAGCTCCCAACCTCTTGACCGCAAGCGGCAAAGACCAAATCCTGAGCCTTCATCACCAGCTTGATGACGGAGAGCCGATGCCCCACCCCCACCGTGCGCAGGAAGATCCTGACCTGCAGCCAATTTCCACTCGACAGGGGTGGAAAAGGAGGGTCCGGGTTGGGCTGCATTAAGAATCATGGGGGGCAACTTAAAGGGGTGCCCCGTCTGTCAGAAAAATCCAACATGGCATTGCGCATATACTCAAGGGCTGTCCAGGGAGTGCTTGTCTTGAAAGCAATGCCGGGAGAAGTCATTAGGAAAGTATATACAGGATATGTTGTACTGTCCTTGTTGGAGGGACGGCCCTTCGCTCAACCAAATTTGGAGGCGCAAGAAAAAGTATCCTTCCCGCCAAGGGCGGGAGGAGCCACGAAGAAACTAGACCCTGCCAAGCCAGTGCCCAAGTTCAGCTTCCCTCCTGGCTTGGGGATTTGAACCCTGGCTTCTGTAGAGGGTTCATGGGAACCCCTCCTGAGAGAGGAAAGCTGACAAAGTCAGCCCCGCAAAAAAAGAAGAAGAACAAAAAGTGCTGTGTCGCCTAAGCGTCCCCTAAGCGGGAATCCTTGTGCTTGCGTTCTGACTGAAGCATTACCCCAACAGTGACGTTACAACTGCTTAAACTGCTGTTGAAGGGGAATATGGGGGCAGCGCCTCCTTCAGGAGTTGAGCTGCGTGTGGCCAGCCAAGTCGGGAAGCATAGAAGACCTTTCAAGTTGGTGTCCGAAGGGCATCAGTTGCCTTGATTCAGCTTGGTCAGCTAAATCGAAGCAGTGAGTGGCTCCGAGCCCATGCTAAGTGAGCGAGAACCGAAAGCCGGGAAAAGAATGACCCAAGAACATCAACACTACAAGGATGGCCCGTGGCCGCCTTTGTTTACGACTGTACCAACCTCGAATTGCCCAGGTTTGATTTTGGCTCAACTCAAAGCCACTGAAGGAGCTAACGGCATTGTCATGAATCGCACCTCTGCTCTGTTTTCGAGCATGCATAACTGGGTGTGTTCGTGTATATCTGTGCGAGCGTTTGGGCAAGTTGCAGAATCCAACTCATGAGAGTACAAGGGCAACACTGACAAAACCAATCCACATTGAACATTAGAGGCAATCGTCTTACTCTGACCACAGGGTTTCAGGGTCCAGTTCAGCTTCAATCATGGGTGGTGTCCCTCCCATGTTGTATTCTTCCCCACCGGGGAAATGAAAGCAACAAAGAATTCTAGGGGGTGGGTCCCCAGATCCCCCGTTAAGGGGTGAGTCGGATGGAAATCCCAGAAAGAAGGGCTTACAAGCGGAACGTCTTTCTAACCAAATTACGCCTATTCATAAACCGGGAATGACAAGTCCCCGAGTAAGAAACCTTCATCATGGGCTTTCTTTCGCTTGTTTTGCCCATGATCGGTGTGCTCGTTCTACTTTGCGCAAAGTGATGCAACCCAACTCTTCGAGACCTTCAGTGGAGCATTCGGCGCTCTTAGTCCCCAACTCCGTGCACCTTCTTTAGGTACCTCTCATCAGCCTAAGCGGTCGGTTTCGGAGTGCCCCTCTAAGGCGAGGCATGTAAACAAAAACTGCTCCCTTTGCGCCAGTACAGGCTTGTTGAGAGTACGGTACCCCTTTCGGGGCGGGTTATCAAAGGGAAACCAAAGCCAAGAGCCCTCGGAGGACGCACCCAACCCGCCCTGCGTGCGGGAGAATGTTGGGTGAAGTTCACAACAAACTGAGACCAACACACTTCATGGTTCCACCCATCCCCGAACCATCCCCGGCAAAGTGGGTGTTATGCATATATGTGTTTTTCATTTTTCTCTATGTGTGTGTAGTGGCTATACCCTGGTTGTATTCCTACAAATCCTTTGGGTAGGGCTTTGGTACAGAAATGTTGTGCCCAGGAGCCAGTTTCGATGAAGTATGGCAATCAATATCGAAGTGGTCTCACGGATTTTGATTCAGAAACATGAGAACAAACATGTGGTGCAAAAAGGAGACATGTGGTGCAAATGTGTTTTGTGTTGTGTTGGGTGTGTGCCTGTGTGTCTGTGCCTCTGTGTCTGTGCCTGTGTGGTGTGTGTGTGTGTAGTCTGTCGTGTGTCTTGTGGTTTGTGTGCTGTGTTGCTTGTGTTGTGTTGCGCGTTGATATGTTGCATGTTGTTTGTTTATTTGTTTGTTTGCTTGTGTGTTTGGTTGGTTGGTTGGTGGGTGGGTGGGCGGGTGGGTGGGTGGGTGGGTGGGTGGGTGGGTTGGTGGATTCGGTGGGTTGGTGGATTGGGTTGGTGGGTTGGGTTCGTGGGAGGGGGGGGGGTTGGGCGCGCGGGCGGCAGGCGGGTGTGTGGAGGCCAGTGGGATTTATTCGACAACTGGAGACCAGCCGCAAGCATGCAAAAAATGGATTCACCCTGAGGTCTCACCCAGCTTTGCACCATACGCTTGATTGGGCGCTGGTCGAACAAAGCAACATTTGAACTGGGCAAACGCGCCTATCTTTCGAAACTCCATGCCTGTGACCCTCAATGTTTCATCTGATGTTGATCCCGTACAACCGGTTCCCCATTTTGACATGTGCCATGGCCAAGACTCACTATGTCAGTCATGGCAATGGTTCCGCTAGTAGAAACCCTCAAAACGGTTGTCCGGGGAGGGGGAACAAGAGGCATTCTAATGATGATTCCGCCCCGAGTCGCCATGAGCCACATACCACACACACACACACACACAGTGAGGGCCACGCCGACACATACTCCGCGTCGTTGAAGTAGTACCCAAACCTCACGCGCCACGGTCGACGAGATGGAGCAGCTTTGCCAACTGCACGCAGGGTTGCTTGCGTGCATAAGATGTGGTCCACGATGCGCAAGAAGAGCTCACTAAGCACATCCAAACCGGTCAGACGAACACCCCTTCACACAACGGTCCGCGCGACCGAGTTTGTAGTTCGTGATGCGACTTTTCTCGGGTGGAAGCGTGGCAGTAGCTTGACGGTAGTGCGGCGGCTGTGTGGCAGAAGTGTGGCGGTAATGTGGCCGTAGTTTGGCGGTAGTGTGGCGGAAGCGTGGCGATAGTGCGGCGGAAGTCTGGCAGTAGTGCGGCGGAAGTGTGGTGGTAGCGTGGCGGAATATGGCGCCAGTCTGGCGGAAGTGTGGCGGTAGTTTGTTGGTAGTGTGGCGGCAGTGTGGCGGTAGTGCGGCTGATTCTGGACACGCTGGGCCAAAGACAGGCATGGTATCCAAGTCTTTCCATCATGGACGCACACTGCGAAACCCTCAGAGGAGAGCATGCGCAGCAACGCCTTGCACACACTCAAGGCGGCAAAGACAAACGTCACGCCTTTATGCCCGGAATCTGTGCACGCGGATCTCGGCTCCAACATGCGCGCAACTCTTGTCTGCGGATGCAGCAGCGAAGGCCCATGCCTGACCACTACGAGAAAGACTCCTGCGGCCCCCAGGGATTTCTGGGCCAATCTTCACCCCAAGGCCAAGGCAGGGAAAGTCCTGCAGCTGTTGTGTTTCCCTTGATGGACACATGATGACTCGGTTTGCACGGGGAGTCACAGCGTGCCCCACGACGGCCGGCGCCTTTCGCCGGAAATTTGTTACACCTGGATCTGGGTCAAGCCATCCCTGCGCAGGGGCCAGGCTGATCTTCCCTTCGGATGATCGCCGAAGCGAACCCGACAGGAAACCAACCGGTTTCGGAGGACCCGAAGATGTTCAGAAAATGCCAAGGACTGTGGGTTGCGAGCCTCCCGGAGCTGAAGCCGAGATGGTTCCGCTCTGGAGGTGTCTGGTTGTTGGGGAACTCTATTTCGATTGGTGTGCAATGGAAATCAACTGCAAACGAAACATGTTGGGGGTCCCCTGACTTTGAGACAAACCCATATTTCACCCTCAACATCACCCCGCAAAAAGGAAACTCAGCTGAAAACGGCCCCAATGCATAGGTAGAAAACCATCCCCAAAGCGGGGCCGGGCAAAGAGTAAGGATGACTCCCTTGCAGATTTGCACGGAACCTAAAAGATGCCCATGCCTGGCAATCTCTTTTTGGGGAACCCACTTTTACATTCCATGTTCGACCTTCGGGGTGGCACCTTCTGACCAGCCCAAACAACATCCGACCGACTTGGATGACTAGACTACTAGACCAACATCCCCAGAGTCATCCCGACTGTGCAATCAAAAATGCAAGATCTGCAAAAGATCTTCGCGGTTCCGATCCGATCGCAGGCTTGGGCCACGGCTGATTCTCATCAAACAAAGTGTCCAGCCGCCGCACCTTCACCTGGCTGATACATGTTCTGATACGACCTGGGTGACAACCCCAACAAACCCAGGAAATTCCCACCTGCCCAAGAAACCAACATCTCTCAAGTGCAAGGCCCTGCGTGTTTTTGTTTGTCTTCCCAGATATTGCTAGTTGCAAGGTGTTTGAAACACCAGTGGCCTCCCTGAAGGTTCAAGCGCGGAAAAACGAACAGCA